GTAGTTGGTGGATAAGGAGATGGTTTCAGTGGGTGCTGTTTGGTGGCCTTTGCTTGTCTGAAGATTTCTTGATCGAATTTTCGCATTGAAGTCTCTTGAGTTCAGAGGTCCAAAAAAGGACACAAGCTATGATCAGTTCCAATTGATTGCCATGAATTTTCCGCATCCTGACACGGATGGTACAATGTAATTTGCTGATCACTGATTTTGTAACACCAATATTCACTGACAGTTCTCTAATTTTTGAGTAAACATCTGCACTTCTATAAGGAAATGGAAGACAAAGATTTTGACTGCAATTTGATCAGTGCCATTCAATTTGGAGGTGGAATATTTAATGCGTCATCCGACAACTTACATGTAACGACTTGTTCTCTGATTGTCATCAGTGATTTGGAAAATTTTCAATACTCCTTATGATAAGAGTGAAATTCAGCAATGTGTGTATCTCATTTGTACCATGGACATCAAGTTTATTGCTGTAGTGGATTAAAATATTTCCTACAATTACAATAACATGATTGAGAGATGTAGGGAAGTTTGTAAGGCGATGGAAACTATTCAAATTCCGGCGCTTCCACTTGCCGGAACTTCTTCTGCATCGTCATCATCTTGATTTGGTTGCCAGATTTTAAGCTGACTGACGTGTGCTGTCGTCGCGTATAGCTCTTCAGGCTCTTCTTCGTTTAAATTCCTTACGCTATTTGTATCATTCGGGAGAACTTCGTAAACCTTGACCGGTCCTCAGTACCGAGGTTGTAATTTCGTGGAGTTACCCATTGCATTACTGTTTGTCTTTAATTCTTATGAAAAAATTGCCAAGGGGGGGGTGCGTGATACTTTTTTCCACGATTTTTGAAATTAATATCTCTTAAACTAAAAGCCAGAGCAACCAACGAATTGCTGATTATGGAAGACTGGAAAATTCTCTATCAGATAAAAATATAAAATATTTATATTTCCAAATATAAAAGTAATTTTTATTTCTACATACGTTCTGCATACGTACTTATAATAAATAAATCGTGTGTTCTTGTTATTTTAGTATTATACCTGTGCGCAAACAGTCGAGAACGCACAAAACACACATATGTAATCGTTAACGATGAGTTTTTTTATAGGAAAAATCATTAAACGTCAAATCCGCCCAACCAGTCGCAGACGGACTCACATTGCTAATATTACAACAATTAGCCGTACCCTACTCTATTAGCAACACATAACAAGTTTTGTGCGCATCGAAATCATTCATTATATGACCTAATTGTTGCTTATGTGTTTGGCTGTTTCGGCAACAGTTTCGGTGTTGGTGTCGTTGAGGATAATTTTGTTTCTGACACATCTCGGTGTCCCGAGTATTTGTCTTATAATCTTACTCTGGCATCTGTCGACTGTTGCTATAATATTTAAATCAAATCCAACACTTATAATTTCTGCATAAATCTGCTCATTATGACTTCTGAATATCAAACGAGTTAAAAAGTACAAGTACAACAGAAAACGAGTAACAATCTTTAGTCGAGTTAGTCGGAAGACGCGTCGCTTCTACCTCGGATTCGCCGGAATCGTCATTGGCTTCCCGCTTCGGCATCGCCCTCCTCGTCATCATCATCATCTTCATCATCATCGTCGGCAGTCTCTACCCAGGTACATTTTCTTCTACTTTACACTCTCCTTGAGCTTCGTCTCGAAGTAGTCCTGAACGCGATTTAGCGCAGACATGTGAATCTTTATTTATATTATATGATTAAGTAATATTTACACATCACGTTTGAAACAGATTGAAGGATTATAAAGTATACCTGGATAAATTACCAGAGGAAGAACGAGCGCAACTGGAGTTGGACATGGAGACGAAGAAAAAGAAGACTGAGAAGGTGAAGAAGAATTTTCTCCTTCGAAGGCTAAAGCTGACATTATGCGCGAGACGAAAGACGCGAAAATCACAGAAATCGCACGCATTGGTGGTCAAAAGTACAAACAACTTTCCGAAGCGGCTAAACAAAGCTACTTGGACCGCGCTGCCGTAAGCATGCGCAATATCGAAACGTAAAGTCGAACACCCTATGAAAACATCCACAACTCAGAGAAGCGCTTCGAAGTGGTCCAAAAGTACCCAGGACCAAAGAAACCACGCACTACACCTTACACCGTTGAGTTTGTCGCATAAGGGGAGTTCACGATTAACGCTTACTGGTCCCGCGACTACGCTGTTGTTTAGGAGCGAAAGGACTAAAATGAATCTTATATGGTTTATTCTCGAAGGGAATTTGGTTCCAATAATGACTACTACCACTGACTTTAAAATTGTACTACTCGGGAAAAGTTTGTTAAAAGTTATATTTCGTCGAGTAGCATCTTCTTTCTTGACATTTTGTGTGTGGAGAGTTCTCAAGTTCTCCGACCAAAGTATATCTAGTACCTTCTTCTATATACTCTTTAAACTGATATGCACCACAAAACGCCATAATATTTCACATAAACAGCGCAGAACGAGATCTGAACGTCCTAGTCCCTAACGCCAATACTTTTTAATTATATTGATAAATACGTCGACCAATAGCCCTACTACCCGTTCTTACATGTTCATGCTTTTTATGCCATATTTTGTGTGTAAAATATACAGTTTGAAAAAATTGGCGGCGTTCTTGCAAGTATCATTTGTACATTTGTTAGGTTCCCAAATTTTAAAACCTTGCTTACATTTCAACTTTTCCTCAGTAATACATAAATTCTAGTAAATTTCTTTTAGTTTTAAGCCAAAAAGGATTTTTTGCTTGTGCTTACATTTTGATTTGTCTACAGTAACACATAAATTTCTAGTCAAAGTCAATATTTTTCCTAAAAAATTATTCGAGAGTTGCGCCAAAAAGTCCATTTTCTTTTCCTTCAGCACCCGAGAGGAGATCCATAGTTACTTACTTCAATTTACCTCTCCCTTTCAGGTAAAGTACAAAATACGCCAATCAAAAGGGACCTACTCTGAGTGACCGTAAAAGTCGAGTTTTTGATTCAGGAGGTTTTGCGGCGTTTAGGAATTGTTAAAATTTCACGAAATCTTTAGCCGAAAATCAAACTTCCGAAAAAACTTAGAAAATTTTCAACTTTTTTCTGTTTTTGTACATAAGTCCAAAAATCGACACTAGACAAAAATTTCTTTATTTTTCGTTTTTTGCGGCTAAGTCCGAAAAATCGACACTTAGAAAAATTTTCAACATTTTTCATTTTTCGACTAAGTCCAAAATTTTTCAGCAAAGTCCAACAAAATTCAATATATAATGAAACTTAGTCGATAAACTTATATTTAAAGCCGAAATACATGTACCGAGCATATTGGAAGACTTTGTTATTTTTTCAACTTCGAGCAAACTACCTGCTCCTATAGGGTAAAAGTACAAAAATACGCCAATCGTGCGACCTACTCTGAGTGACCGTAAAAGTCGATTTTTTTTGAGTTCAGGAGGTTTTTGCGGCGGCTTAGGATTCGTTAAAATGTCACGAAATTTTTAGCCGAAAATCAAAACCTCCCGAAAAACTTAGAAATTTAGTGGTTTAGTATAAACTAGAATATGCTGCATGTAGCGTTAGGAGATACTCGGGACACTCGGGAGTGTCATGCGTTGCATTTCATGCGGCAAAAGCGATAAGAAAGTAAATTGTGTTCCAAACAAACACAATTCTCGTGCCGAATGCTCACGTTTACCGATAAATATAGAAATAAACAATACAATTCTATTTTATGATTTTTAGTTCACGCTAGTGCCATCTCTGAATGATACAGGTAGGAGTCCCGGAGTTTAAATTATTAATATTAATGAAAAATTGCGCGCTTTTACATTAACTATTAAAGCAGTGTTGTGCAATCTGTATTAATCGCAAAATGTGTGCCGGAAATACGTTTTCCCAAGCTTCCACAGAGAAGCAATAATCAACAAAAAATGGTCAAATTTTCAAAGGTGATAAGTAATAAAAATAAGCAAGTCTCCAACTCGTGGTTGATAAACAAATAACAAAACCTATAGGTTGAAATACAATGGTAGGTAGTACGAGAGGGTGAGTATAAGCTGAGTAAAGTTAAGTAAACACTTACTGTACGCTATACCCTCACAATATCGCCAAAACGATATTTTTACTAAAAACTTCAGTCTCCACCGTTAGGTGGAGCTGACAATACTTCTGCGTCTTGAATTATAAGCCAGTTGTATATACGCCATGGCAAGTCAATGCAATATTTGTCAAGCCAGTAGGTGTGCTGATGAGACCTCTAATGGTCGAAATAGCTATCCACATCAGGCTTGACAAATACTTGCATTGACTTGCAATGGTTTAGTAAAAATATCGTTTTGGCGATATTGTGAGGGTATAGCGTACAGTAAGTGTTTACTTAACTTTACTCAGCAAAACCTATAGGACTGAATGGGCTCCTGATCCGGATAACTTGCCAAACATCATAATCAAGTTTTTTATCCAGAAGAAAATTGTTTCAATGATTTAAATGACCGATTTTCGAAAATGAAAACAATTGCAGGAACTTAACAACTAGATTGTATAATTCCAGACAAAAATTATTGTTTATGTGTAAAAAAATGCTTCAAACTCGAATGAATACAGAATTTGTAAAATATTTAAACGACAGACAAAAATTAATAAATTGTTTTTTATATTGTTTTTGTAAAATCGTTGAATGTATTAATCATTAAATTTAGTCATTACAACCGTTAAATTTAAATTTGAACTTTTTATTGCAGAATATTAGAGATTAGACAATTTGAAATCACTTATTGTAGTAATATGTATATTACTACAGATAATCGGTTTGTTACTTTTTACCATTTTTAGAAGTAATGTAAAATGCGTAAAAATATTACCTTATTGTAACACATAAATTGTAATTCATTAACCCGTTTAAAAATAAAATATAATGAAAAATAATTAGCTATAAACATCAGAACATTATGATTTTGTTGCGGCGAATCGGCGCGCCGCGACTTGGCGTGCGGTGAGACGACTAGAGACCAAACGAAGTGTATCCAAATGGAACATCTACCACATAACCTGAAAACCGCCTTCATACCTTTTATAGCAGTGTGAATCATTTTAATAATCTGTGTCTTTAAAATTAATTTCAACAATGTCTAAAGTCGACTTAGAACTGAAAAAGGTAAAAAGTGCATTATCGTAGATCAAATTGTACAATTTCCATTGTTGTATGTATTTTCAGGCATTTGCTGAGTTGCAAATGAAAGCAGTTGAAACATCGCAAAAACTCAAACTTGCCGATTTGCAAATTGAACAATTAAAGAAGAATAAAAAGCGATCAATACTCACAGACCAGTAAATATTACCTTTTAATTATACATTTAACATTTAAAGAAATAAAATGCAATGCAATTACAATTACAATGCACTGAAACAACCAGCTCTTAATCAGCATGGTTATGCTTATAATTTTCTTTTTGATGCTTTATAATTCAAATATTGCAAATTAATCCATCTGCTCAGTTTGCAGGTTGATAACAACATTAAAACAGTTTGTTGAAAAATTTACTTAATTTACTTAGTAAATTGTTTATTTTTAAGGGAAATCTCAACTTTGGATCCCTCCTGCAAAATGTATGACACAATAGGTCGTATGTTCATGCTATCACCAAAGGATCAAATAATTTCCGATCTCAAGAAGGAGCAGGACGCAGCGGAAGAGAAAATTAAAGGATTGGAAAATAGCAAAGCTTTTCTCGAACGTAGCATGAAAGACGCCGAGAACAACCTTCGCGAAATGGTGCAGCAGAGAAAATAGATTTTATTTATTCATTATTTACGATCACACTCATCAAATAAAAATTGAAGTCATTATAATTGAGTTATTCATATTTATTTTTCCTTGTTTATGGACAAAAATTGCATTGCAGTTTGCATGATATTTTCTCCTTAAATATTTAAATGTATAGCAGCCAGAGAACAAGTTTGTTACTCGCCTTATGATTAAGTCGTAAACATTAATAACAATAATATACTTAATACCCAAAACAAATAACAAACGAGAAACGCGTGGTCAATTGTCAATCATAAAAAAGTTGATGCGCAAGAACCTAAGAGAAAAGTCGAAAGTTCCGCGGGAGACGCGAATAGTTACAAAGAAACCAAATACCACAATGACTTATGTTACACGTTATGCCTTAAATTACTATTTGATTCGTCATTTCTTCGTCGCTGCTGGTTTTATTTACTGCTGCCATTTTGCTGCAGCTTTTTGTACTGTGTGAACAGTTCGCGCATGTCCAGCATCGCCTGCTCGATGTGTTTCGCAAAACGGTGGCAATTCTATAACAAACAACACGTAATCATTAAATATTAAATGATTTTCAAAATGTGCAATAAATAGTAAATAGTATCTTACTGTTGGCCCCGGCTGGTTACAGACAAAGAAACAAGAAAACAATCACCAATAATTTTTAACTAAATAATTTATGATTAGTGCTTACCGTTTGCCCGTTGCTCTTCTTATTGGATATGTGGAAGAATAAATTGTCTTCTCCCGCGATAATGTAGGAGACACCATAGCCATCATCAGCAACCGGCCCAAATCCACCACCGGCTGAAATACAGTTCGGATATTTATTGAAGTCCATCCTGCCCGTCTGCCCGTGTGGTGTTTGCGATGTTGAGAGCCTCCACGGCTCGCTAAGTACCTCCTTAAGGAAGGGCGAGTCCACTTCTAGGTACTTGCTCACCACGTATAGACAGAAAAGATGTCGATCGATGCCTTTACCACACATGGCGTCTTGGTAGGCGCGCTGATGGCGTGTGCATGCCTTCAATAACAACGCGACGCGCTCATCGACACTGCAGTCTTTGTTGCACATTGCTTTTACCCAGGCGTTTGACTCCAGTGTTACCGGTCGCACAGTTTCAGTGCGGCCTTCGCGGTACAATCGCGTCATGGACGCTTCGTATGTCAAGCTGAACTTGCCAGCGTCGCGGTAGTACGCTAGTTGGAGGACCATCTGCAGATAAGCATCTGGTGACACTTTGCATGTCTTCATGAAGCGCTTGCCGTAGGTGTTGAAGACCATGATTTTTAAGTCTATGTCAGCGATTAATTCATTAGCGGCGATCACGGCGAGTTCGATAGATTTCTGGCAGTCTTCTTTCATGTCCCACTTGAGACGTTGCGGAGTTGGTGGTTCAATCAGGACTTCACCTTTAGCGTTGCCTTCGGGGGTGTATCTATAAATTAATGTTTATGAGAAACAAGTTCAACATACAGAATAATAAATGGGGTTTGTTGGTTTTAGTCAGAATGATGAAATTAAAATGAAAACAATCAACATGCAAGAAAACAAATGCAATCGACAGCGGCCATTATTGTGTCAATGCGTATTTTTTAGCGCGTTTGAAGCTTTGAACGTTTAAATATGTACAATTCAAAGACAGTTAAACGAAAAGAAGCTTTGTTGTAATTATTACCCATTTTCCATCTCGTCCAAAATTACGATCTCCCATAAATGGGTGAGAACAGCCGCGTCAGCCCTATTGACCAAAAAAAGAAACACTAGCATTAATTCAAGGCCAAAGACAGTCTGCAAAAACCGGGGAGTGTTACATTTTGTTGGTTTACTACGTGTCGATGTAAGCTCAGATCTATAATAGAAAGATCTAGGAAAGCCAAGAGAGACAAGATATAGTAAAGATTATTAGCAACATCGGGGGGAAAAGGTGAGGTTTGGTTGGCGTAATACCGATTGATTTCGACCTCGTCGCTCACGACCATCTCCCAAATGTGTGACATCACAGCTGCATCAGCCCTGGCAACATTTCAAAAACAATTCGTACAAGAATATACAAAAAAAAATCAATTTTTAGTATTTCGATGACTGAAAACAAAACAGTGCATTATTTCACACTAACCACAGAGAAATTGCAAACAATTAAGCTTACCATGAATGTTCAGCGTTAAATCCGAGCTGAAAACAAAATAAATATCAGTTTTGCTAAATTTTAATGTAAATTAAAATAACTTACTCTTCCGTTAGTGCCGACACACAGCGTGAATGATTTGTCAAACCATCTGTCGTAGCCTTTCCCGTGTAACAAATTTTTACCGAAATTATCTAACTGCGTGGAATCTTCCTACATAAAGTAAGTTAAAACACAGTAAATTTAAGTTTCTATGTTTCAACTAAAGTTTAATACTTACAGGATCATATTTATAAGAGTGATCATCTAATGTCAAACAAAACGCAGCTTTTTCGATGATGTCCAATGACTGTTTATTGACGCCATTGTTGAAGTACACTCTGCGAGTATTAGCCCACTTGGTGCGCTCCCATGCAGTCAGGGCTGCCAACTTTTCTTCGCCAGGCAAAGGTTCGGCTTTATCATTCAAAATATACTCCAATTGTCTAAAAGAAAACAAATAACAAATAACATTATATTTTTATGTATATTTTTTCCTAGATAGCATACTTTTGAATCTCTGCGGCGTTCAACAGGCGACCCTTGTAGATGATCACCTTGTAATAGCAGCCTTTGTGATAGACGCAGATGTGATTGCTGTCGGCCCAATGCTGGATCTTATCGGTCTCGACGCCGGGCACGCGCGTCGTGTTGAATATGCGCTCGTACTGCCAAGAGCACAGCGGGATGAGGCCTTGTATGAGGATCGGTTGCAGCTCCTGCCTCTCAACCAATCTACGGTAATTCAAACATGAGTAAATAGCGGCGGCGGCGCGAGCCGCCTGCGTCGCGGCGGTCTCCATCATGATTGTGTCAATGCCATAGAAGTTAGAGTTAATCATCAGCGGGGAGCGGCCGCGCAAGTACACGTACTCCTCCCACCAATCAGACACGTAATTACTGGACCACCAAGACTTTAATATTAGATAACGTTGCAATTTCACACCGATACCTTTCTCAAATTCGGCTGCCAGACGCTCCATGCGCGCATAGTTTGTGTCATCGAGCAGTGGCCGTGCGCTTTGCAGGTACTACAATCAAAACATGAAGAAGAAAAAAACATCAGTTGTGATTTAATCGCCATCTTGTTAAATTCATAGTTAACCTAACTTACTCTGCTCATTGTGTCGTGAAGCTTTGGTACGGGCAGTTTTGGCAGGGAGCCCTGGAAACTGTAAAGTTTCGGTGTGTTCCATCCGCGGAACATGGTCACCAGCGCGAGCCATATTTGTGTTTTCAGCGAGGGTTTCGAGCCGCGCACGCGCGACTCATACATCCACCCTTTGTACACCAGCAGCGCTTTCAGCGTGTATCGCATTGTGTAGATTATGCATAGCCAAATGCTCAACGCCGTTGCCATACTCGCCACTAGCTGCCATTTTACTGTATCACTAAAACAAACAAAACACCATCAAACAAGTTTTATACATTCGTAAACAAGTTCCTACCCAGGTAGTATTGGCATTATTTTCGCGACCAAGTCATAAGGCACTTTATATCCTGAAAAATGTATCGCCGAGATGACTGTCATCGTCAACCATAACGTCCATAAGTGTGCTGGATAGACACCATTGTGTACACTGTTCTGTAACACAATTAATTTCAATAAAAACGTAAGAATTTTTATTTTTTTATGTTACGAACCATGAATCTAGCGACGCGTTTCTTCCATGATCGCATGCCCGATTGCCACACGAGGTTGAGGACCTCGCGGTCGAAGTTGACGTCCCATCCCTCGTGAGTGATGGCGAACGAGAAGGCAACAGCCGAATGGGCTTCCGCCATGTTGATTTCCTAGAGTTTTACTTTGGTCCTAAAAAGATACAAGTAAAGTTATTACAAGCAATAAATGAGGTTGCAATTCGAGTGGACTAAATTGAGGACGAGCCTTTTTTATTGTTCGAATTGTACGAATATTTATTTATGACCATGCAAATGGGTGACGGCCAGCAATAAATAATTAATTGCTTCTAGAATGTCGAGTCATTTTAATTTAAAAGAATAATCAGTTATACAACTGAGCAAATATTTAAATATTTGTTGATTGTCGCATGTGAATTGCTTGCTTTTACCTGATTGTCCAATGAGTGAAAGTCCAAAAATAATATGAAAAAAAACGCGGCAGACAAATTTAATACTGTTTGTCGTGTCAAACTTCCCAAAGCACCGTCTGCGCGGCATGTGAATTATGATTTGTAAACAATTGTGATGGCGGCCATATTGAAAAGCGAAAGTGCAATTAAAACGACTAAAAGTCGTGTCATTAAAACGAACGGTGTAATTAATGTAATGTGCAAGTCATTTCAAACGATATTTACTTCTGCAATAGAATGGAAAGAATCAGTTTATATCATTAATGGGTTAATATCAGTTTTGTCGTCGCTCGTCAATAATAATTCCAGTCGTAAATAAATAAAAGAGGAAAGGGAAAGAAATTCCCAACATTAGTGACGTAGGATGATGGTAATAGCAATGTAAACAGAAACGCAAATAAATGACACACGTTAACTAATTATTTACATACCAACGTTGGATGGTCGCAAATGGACGGACATTTTGTTGAAAACACATAGAAAATGTCTCTGTATGTACCTGAATTTTGCGATTATAGCTACAATTATTAACCGGTGATCAAAGTGTGTGATTAGCGTCCAAAAATAGCAAAGTTCATGTTTTCGATTGTTTCGAATGTGAACTATAACCTAAAAAGATCATTATCATTGGATGCTATTGAAAATCCGCACGCAATTTAATTTTTCTAACATCTATTTTCGATTTAAGACACGTATGAAGTTGTTTTGCTAAAAAAATCTCAAGTGTGAAATTCCACGAAACAAGTGCGTATTCATTTGTGTGCGTGCGCACCTAACGTATATTTTTAAGTAGTCGTTGACCCACTTTTAACTCGCAGATTATATAATTCCGGCGGAGTAAACATCAACCACGCGTAATATATTCATTATATTATATCCGATTTAACAACAATCAAGAACTAGAAATCTTCTATAATATAAAAATAAATTTCAAAATCTGTTGGTAAGCGCATAACTCAACAACGCTTGGACCAACTTGGCCAATTCTTTGTTTATAATGTGCGTTAAAGTGCAACGATGGTTTTTACGTCGAGAAAAATTCGAATAATTGCCGGAAATAACTCTAAAAACAGCCCTTTTCTATAGGATAAAAGTTGGTATTGAGATTCAATCATAGTTATAGTTAAATAGTTGAATCCGAGATGGCGCGCTGAAGTGCATTATTAGCAATTCTTTATATAATTACAGTAGAATCCGTTTAGTATGACTCCGCTTATATTGACCAACCGGTTATTATGACGTAACTACACTACGAAGTTTGGTTTTCATATAAAATTCTTTTTAAAAAAGTCGGATATAATGACTTCGCTTACAGTGACATGTCGCTTATTATGACCCATTTTTAATAGATTATGTCCGGTTATAATGACCAACATGATTCTTTACACCTCCGGTAATGTTCGTTGATACCCGACGACGTTCGACACGTGGCTAACTTTTTATATTTATTGCTACATTTTTTTATGATTGTCAAATTACATTTATGTATTTACTATCGGAAAGACCAGACCACGACTTAATCCGTATTTTCCATTAATCCGAATTTGGCGTGGGTCATTCGACAATCTCAATGCTTTTTAAAGAACCATAACCGTATTAAGCAATCGTTCAATTCAAATGTTTTGAAACCGAAGAGGCTTCGAAAATCACAAGAAAATTAATTAAATGAAAAAACAAAAGCAGACAAAAATTACAGATTACTTGCAGTAAAAATACACTTGTATGTGTTATAATGTGCTGATTACGTGCAATTTTGATTTTGATTTAATATGTATGTATATGTACATATTTACATAAAAAAGGGTTTTCATTTCACAAAACGCTTTGTATGACGTCCGCTTATTATGACGTGTTTGTCAATTCCCTTCGATGTCATTATAACCGGACTCTACTGTAATTTCTTTAAAATAAAATTGTGAATCTTATTGATAGAATTGCCTCATACTATGTCTAGGACAAGAGAGCAAAAACGAAATACATTTTTATTTAACACTACCGGGACGAAGTAGCGGGCAAAAGCTAGTATAAAATATAAAAGAAGATAATTTGAGTGTTTTTTAAGATCTTTCATGGTGTACCTACTAGAATTTATTATGGAATGACAATTGCAAAGGCAAGTCATTGTCCGCAAACAAATCAACAGGAGTGCGTACGTGAGTCGAAGAGAAAGTGCGTGAGTGTTGAAACAAGTGAATGGACACTTTAAATTTCAAATTTGTTTCAAAAATCAATTCAAGTTGATTTCAATAGGTATTTGCATGGAAAATTATTTGCCTAATGTATTCGTACTGGAGTACAAAGTACACATTTACTGAAATGACCCAATACGACTAGAAACTTTTGTTTCGTCAGTAGGATATTACATATCATGGTGGTTACACTACGTTTTTCGGATGTCTGATAAATAAAGTTAAGGGGCACACCTAGTGTGACGACTTAAAAAATGGCCATTTTTTGGAATTTAATATAAAGGAAACTAGTGAATCCACCTATTTAAAATTTTGAGGGTATATTTATACATGTTTTGTGAATACACAGTAAATTTTTTGAAATAAAATATTAATTAGTTTTGAAATGACACGCGATCTCCGGCGGCGCCAAAAAAAAGGTCCTCCACTGCTGGCGTGATTGCAGCCTTCTCCGTCGATAAAACCAAACAGAAAAATTCTCCTTAAACTAAAACATATTTTCTATACAATGACCCTCGGGCGAACAAAAAATCAAAAATTGACAAAATGGCGGCATTTTGAATAAAAAAGTTAAATTTTTCCCAAAATTTTGGTCGTTTTTGGCCTGTCAAAATTCGATTTTTGATCAGATCATAAAACTGGAGGGTCATTGTATGGAGAACTATATAGAGGAGATGCAAAAAAAATTTGATAGCGATCGGATCATTTGTCTTCGAGTAATCACGCCAGCAAATTCGAAAAATGCTGTTTCGAGAAAAACGCGTTTAAAGATAAAATGCAACTATCTAACTGCCGAGCGGCTACTCTTTCAAATGGCTGTTACTCAAAAACTATTTCAGATATCAAGTTAAAATTTTAGTATGTTATTTTTAAAGGTATAACCTATCGAAATATGGTAAAAAAATTTTTCGATTTTTTGAAAATTTCACACTAGGTGTGCCCCTTAACTGTTATTATGCTATCCAGGACTCAGACGAATCCAACGAATCATAAATCATCAAAATCTGTTGAACCGCTTTTGAGTTATAAATGCTGTAACTAACACGACTTTGTTTTTGGTCAATAGATATAATTTATAACCTTTAATAATATTGAACGGTTCAATATCAACAAGACTTTTATATTGAGTACTAGTTTAGTTAATTTTCAGCCAAACAAACTATTTCTTTGCTTCTTCAACTTATTGCAAGCCAACTCTACCAATAAGATTCTCAATTAACGCCATCTCGAGTTCAATTATACAACTATAACTACGAAAATATCCAGATTAACTCTTAACCCTTATTTTACACCCTTTAAGTTATATTTTTAAGGCAAAAAGTAACTTATTTTATTTTCCTTCCTAAATCAATAATCCCTATACCAAAATTTATCAAAATCGCATCAGTGGTTTTTGCATGAGCGCGTCACAAACCCACAATCGTTTTAATAATGTTCATTTGGATATATAACAAATTTCCTGATGGAAAACCAGTTTGTCCCATAAATAATCAATGACGTCTATGTCTACCATCGTTTGTTTGCCTAAACGCCGCCGCCATTTTGCATACAAAAGGAAAGTTTGCAATAAATTCCGCGTTCATAAAATTTCAAGCCGAGTTAATTACAGTCATTCGGACGAAAAAAATGCGCGCAATTTATGGAAGCGCTGTGTCGTCAAACAAAACAAAATGCAACCTGTCATAATTACTATAACCTTGAGATAATATCAATAAATTTCGAAATAAAATTACATAGCTACACATCACATACGTGCAGCTAATCAAAATTTTCATTATCAGTCGAAAAATATAACTGTAAGGTTGCGTATATGACCATGCACCAGCAACATGCAGAACACCCTGTGGATATGGAGTCACATCACTGATGGGGGGTTTTTCTGTTTATGTCAGCGACTTGCGTCGCTGGGCATGCGTCTCCTAAGAAATGACTCAGACTCGTGCTCCGGCATTCGTTGTAAACTGTTCACAATTAAGATCCGATCGCTCTGTATTATTGAATAAAACTAGTAAAACCGAAACAACATTTCGTAATTCTAACATAACTGTATTCATTCATATAATACTTATGCACTGCGAAATGTTTATTTTGCTATCACATATCTGATTAAGATATTTTTGTAGAATCCTGCGTGACTTACCGAAATAGTCAAACTTAACATAGATTAATATAGAGAGTAGATTTTAACCCCACGTGAGTGCCACACGTGTAAACGATAAAAGCGAATCAACATTGATTTAAGGCCGCCGGCGACACCGCTTAACAAGCGGTTAAGGAAATCGAGCGTTGAAAAAGCGCGATAAAGCGACTGTCAACAATGACCTTTGAATGCCAAGCGCCCCACCGCATAATTGCATAATTGAACTCGTGTTTTGTGATACTACTGCGTCGTACGGTCATTGCTAATGAATTGCAAACAACGTAACATAATCAGTCAATTTTGAACTTCAGAACTTCCTCTATAACAAAATGTAGCAATTTAACTGCAAAAATCAAGATATTTAGAAAGCATTTCTGCAAAATTTATGAAAATTATGCTAAGTTGCATCCTAATTGAACTTTCTTCTTGCCGGGTCTTTGACTTTGCAAATTTTCTTCAATTTCTGAAGAGAAACTACGATGTTTCACTTAATAATCATAAAATAAAACTTGCTTGATTAATAAATACTTATCCATTATTATTCAATTATGACTTGCATATTCGAATCTAGTCTGAGAAGATTGCAAAATGTGTGATTGAGGTCACCAATGTAGAATATGATAATGAATTGCACAATAACCTACAATTCCAATAAGAAATACATAAAACCATTTGCGTATTTCTCATAATCAAACTACCTATTTACAGTCTGATTACAAACTTCCATGATGTATGAACGTCAACAAAAAAACACCACATTTATGTGAAGTGTCCAAGCGCCAAATGCTTACTCTCTGTTTAATCGTGCGTGCGAACCGCCGCTATTTATAACACATTAACGATATTATTGTTAATCTGTGTGATGTGCGAGTGTCCGCGATCGTCGCTTGTTTATGGCGGGTGTCACAGATTAGATAGGTACAAAGTACGATCGCCACACAAGCACAATATGTGTGCGGTGTGTGTCGTATGTCGTTTGTTTGTTTATTTTGTTTGTGTTTCTCTCTGAATTTCAAAGGTTACTTTTCGTCTCGCTCGCCGAGTCGCGCACTCGTGTCGACTCGAGTCGAGTATCACACACAGTTTTAATGACAAACAATTTCAATCAAGGCTGAACTCGGTTACACGTTATTGCCGATGATTAATTTTTAGCGGTCAACAGTTAGAGCTGCAAGCAGCAATTTTCTGAGATTTAGCACGAAGAAACTGAAGAACAAACGGTATTTTCGCAAGTGGGTCATAGAAACTTAACTTTCCGTTGCTGGTTCTTATTAGAATCCAAATAATATGTATAATTGGTTGCCTACCGTTTGTTCAATCAAAGCAACCATAAAAACAAAGTTTGTTTACTTTTACGCGCATATATAATATACTGACTAATTCCACAATCGTGAATTAATTTCAGTCTGTGAATAACGCGACGATAAGTTATCACTTTCAAATCCGGCTGGGTTCAAACTTCAGCAATTTGTAATACATTAATGTGAATAGTGAGTCAACAAATATTGCATGGTAATTGCAATAATAATCGTTTTTCGATGCGGAAATAGGATACACGTGCTCACTGACGACAGTCACGGCGCATCTTCAATCTATTAATAACGCAAAACGTCTCACAGGTTGAGAAGAGTTGAAATAAATGTGAAAATGAAGGAAGTAATGTAACCACTCGCTGTTTCTGTTTTACTTATGCCTCTGATGTGTGTGTCAAGCTGAGTTTACGCGTTGCAACGTGGTGCATTTCTGTGCACATTGAAACTAGCACACGTTGCGCACATCACGTCAATTCAATTAAATGCAAATGCACCGGGAGAGCGAAATTCCACCGACTTCACACCTCCTAATCATCATCAAACACATTTAATTAATGCAAAGTGAAAACCTTAATTGATTAGTAAGTTAAAACAAATGAACGATGATCATTCACATACGTTTTACATAAATTAATTTCATCCGTACCTTATTTTAAAACAATTGTTGATTCTTCAGTCGGTAGACACTTATATAAATATTAGAAATAGTCCCAAAAAAGATCCGATATAGTCCAGAGTTGTCAAAAAATGTCGCCAAACATTCGACGAAAAATGCCTTTAAAAATGTCTATTAAATATCACACGCACACTCGCACTATTTACGTCTAACTACGTCGAATTAATTTTACTATGAAGTTCGCCAGCACGGCGCGCCTCTTGAATCCTCATGTACGATTCGGAAGGCTGGTATGGCGAGTGCTAGCGGTGTAAAGTTCGTGTAGTATGCCTGTCTACTGCTTGAGGCCCTCGCTCCTATGCGGAGTCCGCGGAGCCGATGAGAGAACGAAACGCTTGCTGCGCCAGGCCAACGCGAACTCGCTCACGATTTCACGAACTAAACAAGCGCCACAAGCGGCGACCGCTCCGGCTCGGTTTCTTGCTAGATGAGCCGAACGGCCACCGCCGAGCGCCGACTTTCGTCGACCGAAAACTAGCACGCACACATGCGCAGCGAAATTTTGATCTAGGCACGGAAACCGGATGTTATTATTGGTCGATATATAAAATTGTTGAACTTAATAAATTTAAAGTTTTTTTTTGTTGTTTAGAATGCATAATACCGATATTACCCAAGAAGCCAGTTCCAACATTGTTTTTTATTAATAAAAGCGTAAAATTTTTCTGTACGTATAGGTAGAAATCTATTCTTAGTTTATTTTTTTGTTTCATCCGTAACCACTAGATGACTCTAACTGACTTTCAATGGCATTATTTCTTAAATAACAATTATTTGTATCTAACAAAACCAACGAAACTGCAGAATATGTATCTTTAGTTTAATGACAAAAATATGAAAACGCCCTTGGGCCCTTTTTTAAGTAATTTTATACACTAAAACACAAATTTGACCTAGAAAACGACAAATATGAAAGAAATTACTCAGTTTTTATGGTCATTTTATAGTACTTCCTGAGGGATTTGTAAAATGAAAGAACATAAATGTTCTAAAGGGTCTTTTCGGCTATCAAGTGACGATGAGAAGTTAAAAGTAGTGCCAAATATACCGAATGAGTTGTTTAATCGATATCATCGCTATCCAATAGATCAAAAATATGCAAATACACAATGGAAAAAATGATTTTTCTGTAGCAATTTCATGCCAAATATTTGACGCACTTTATGATTGTTCGCACGTCTCGCAAACTATTTATATCTTGAGAAATAATTGCGCCGTTTACACATTTTGCAAACAAAACACTAACGCATTGTGCAACCGAAACCGTGCCCGCTCGGTATTTACGTATGCAACGCAGAAGCGCTGCAGGATGCAAGATTACCACAAAAACAATAACAAAATAGACACTAAAATTTATAGCTCGCGCCTGTTGTGCTGCTGGCCTCCTGTTAACATCGCCTTTCTCCCGCGAGTGGCGCTCTTGTCGTTCACTCCGTTCCGCAAGGCTTGTCTTGCTACCTCCCTGTCTGACTCAGCCAGTCAACCAGTCGCTGCACGCCTTTGTCTCCGGCTGGGTGTCGCACTCGCGTGTCCGCTTATGTGCTGGATCAGTTCCAGATTGATCTATAATTGCACGGACTACTTCGACCTGGTGCTGCGGTGCCTGCTGCCGACGCTGCAAATGGCCGGCGCCGGCGATCGCCACTCCTACCAACACAACGATACCAGCAGCGACACGGAGGACTACAACGATGAGCGACGACGAAGAGTTTTTAAGAACCGCATGAGGTATGTGACCCCGGTCTGGGCAAACAAAAAAGAAATAATACAACTACGACCGACGAATCGAAACGATTCGCACATCACACAGAACATTTCATCTCACGCGCATATCTCGCCCTAGAATCATGAAATCATATCATGTTGAATAAATAATTAAAACAAATTAAAATCATGTACAATTCGCGTGTTAGTGTCTGTGTGTTACTACAGCGTTTGTTTTTGTTTTTACCTGGTTGTTTCGTTCAATTAATCACGATTAAATCGTAAATCAAACAAAGCGCGTTGCCGTTTGTTCAGCTAGTTTGTGCATTGTTTGCTTTTTGTTGATCTGTTGATGTGCCATTCGCGAACGTCAGTGTCTAGTCCCTTGTCTAGTCGACGTCGAAGATATTCGTTGTGAGACTGCAGCCATCATGCTTGCTTTGCCTAGTTATGGTTCGTGTTCCAAGCCGAAACCGTGCCTTGTACTTCGGTCATCATTGTCGGAATCTCGATGTCATAATCTAACTGCACACAATTCTCCTCGTAATAGGTACTTGCATTTCAACAACCGCTGCTTGTGTTCTCGCATCGCTTATGTGTGCGGTTGTTGGTTTTGTTGCAGATCGCGTCACCTGTTCACCGTCGGACTGCCAAAAAACAACCCAGCAATGAACATTGCCTCCAGTGATGATAGAGTTACACTGGTTGTTGATAACACAAGGTATAAATACTTCCCAATTATGCTAAGAAATCATTTTTTATTCAAGTTTTTCTTTTCTTTTTAGATTTGTTGTTGATCCAGCCATCTTCACAGCACATCCGAACACAATGCTGGGTCGAATGTTCAGCAGTGGTTTAGACATCACACACACGAACGATCGTGGTGAATACGAATTAGCCGAAGGGATTTCCGCCACTGTATTCCGTTCGATTTTGGAGTATTTTAAGGGCGGCGTGATTCGCTGCCCGCCAACAGTCTCTGTGCAGGAGTTGCGCGAGGCCTGTGATTATTTACTTGTGCCTTTTGATGCCGGCACAATTCGTTGTCAAAATTTACGTGAGTATCTTCAACAGAATCCAATAAATTGAAATATAAGTCGTGGAAAAAGTTTAATTTTGCAATTTGTAGGTGGTTTGCTTCATGAATTGTCAAATGAAGGCGCGCGTTGCCAATTCGAAGTGTTTCTGGAAGAGTTAATCCTCCCGCTGATGGTAAATTCAGCAGAGCGCGGTGATCGCGAGTGTCACATTGTGGTACTCTTAGAAGACGATACTGTTGATTGGGACGAAGAATATCCGCCGCAGATGGGCGAAGAGTACTCGCAGACAGTCAACAGTACAGCTATGTATCGTTTCTTCAAGTACATCGAAAACCGCGACGTTGCCAAACAAGTCCTAAAAGACAGAGGACTCAAAAAGATACGTCTCGGAATAGAAGGTGTGTAAATGTTAATTTAACTGTATAATAACTAATTATGAATTACTATTAGGTTACCCAACGTACAAGGAAAAAGTCCGTAAACGACCCGGCGGGCGCGCCGAAGTGATTTACAACTACGTGCAGCGACCGTTCATCCACATGTCATGGGAAAAGGAGGAGGCAAAAAGCCGCCACGTTGATTTCCAGTGTGTGAAGTCGAAGAGTGTAACAAATCTCGCCGAGGCGACCGCCGATCCCGCGATGGAGCAAGATTCGCGTGGAAATCCGATCAATCCACCAACGGAATCCCTGCGCCACTTGTCGTTGGAGATGCCCAATATGGCAGATAACGAGGAAGGTGCCGTAGGTGGCGGCGAGCTGGAGCCGGGCGGCGTTGACGACGCACTGAACAATTCTTAACTAAGCTGCGCATTACGACACACACAACAAGAGTATTCTAAGTATATAATAATCGAATCCGGAATTAAATCCAATTTTTAAATGTCTATTTACACCCGCCAAAAACACACACACACAAACGATGAGAGTTGTACATATAGTTAGGTCAGTTATAAGTTGGCACAAGAGTGAGGTTCAAAACCCAACGTGGTCGCTGTTGTGCTTTTGTTCTCTGTTTTGTTGTTGTACAGAATGAGATTGTGTTCGATTGCGCTTGCACAAAATGCCTTAAAGCGAAACAAGTCGAAGAACATCAGCCACAAGGCGTAATCTTAGTTTTTATCGTTTTTAGTCATTTGTGTACATAAACTTCGTTAACGATTTTTTGGTTGAACATTCCCAAAAATCCTCACACAAGTTTTGTTTTTTTGTATGTTCGTAAATATCGTCGTTTGTGACCTTTGAGACTGAAATTTACCAAGTTAAGAGATGTTTAGTTTGCTCAGAAAAGACAAAAATTCAACTGGATGATGCAAATAGGTTCATTTAAGTATTTATAGCCGATTCATTTGGTTGCTAGCAAGTTGAGACAATGAATGATAAAAGATGTTCTAAATTGAGTCAACTAAAACCAGTATCTATGCCACATTAAGAGTCTGAATATAATCCATGTTATTACTCTTTGATTGGAACATTTATAACAGATAGGCATTAGTGTTTTATACCTATTGATAATCAAATATATAATTAACCATACACTTAAATAATGCAGCAACATAGTTAATTTAGTGTTTATATATTAAATCTAAGATTATTTATCAACAGGTTCTTGTAATCTGAAACAATCAGTGACTACTTTCCATTTGTCTGCAATTGCTGTGATAATGAAGTTCTGCTGGAAGGTTTTGGGTACTTTGGCCTGATATCTCACATGTCCTGTTACTTGTATCATAAATGCAGGTTGATCCCCCACACATGGTGCTGTTTGAAATATTCATTTGTATTCAGTTAAATTAATTTAAAACCATTGAAAAACATTACCTATTATGGGTTGGGAGTCTAGTGTTATCACTTTATGATCTGTGGCTGGCAGCTCAATATAATATTTCTGAATTCCATCATTTCCTTGCACACCATTGCCATTCCATGATAAAACAGCTGAATCCATGTACAATCTCGACAACATCTACAAAAGAATATTTAGCTCAAGAGAAGAGTATTTAAAGTGCCTACATACATGTCGTCGTTTGTCCATTGTTTCATAGTACATTTTTGTGAATTCTTCGCCCATTCTGCACGCATGGTCAATTTTACCACGGTATGATGTATCCATTTTATTAAAATATATGTTGTGAAACCAGTTGAAATCCGTGGTGCAAACTAAAGAGATCAAAACATGAATTGTTGAGGTTAAGTTGCAGCTTAGTAATAAAACAGTTGGTGAACTTGTAAAATATCCCTAGATTTAAATATTTGTTGAATAAAACAAAAACTACTCAGATTGTTTGAAAACGAACAATAAATCGATAACTAATAAACAAATTTTGTTATTAAACTTTCAATGCAATAATAAATTGTAATATTTTAAGATTATTAAGTCACAAAGAACTATTCAAGGATGCTCAAGTACATATGTATGTGTAAAAATAGTTCAATCTGTACATAATGCGCTTTGTTTTCATATCTAAGAATACATTCGGTGTGTTTGTGTATTTGGGACGGCGTGAAATTCACGTGCGCGCTCTCAAAATTTCGCACGCTGCGCAATAAAACAAAACGCAAAATGCGCGCGCGAGGTGGGCGTAACGCGGCGCGCGAACGCGACCCACTGCCGTTCGGCGAACGTGAATGGACGAGTTGGACGCACGTCCACCGACCCGCGCGAATGCCTGCGATTCCTGTGCGAAACGCAGCGCAGCGCCGTCTCCACGTTTGCACACTCGTCGCATTTTTCCGGCGCGCACTCGCTTTACGCGCGTGTGTGTGTGTGTGTGAGGCGGCAAGAGGCAGCGCGTCCACACATACCTACACATAAACATGCACAGACTGCGTTGCTATCGATCATGAACCGCGCGCGAGGAGAACGCGGGCAGCGCGAAATTAACGCCGGAATAAGGAATATCGTGCACACACGCCGTACACGCCTCACGCGTTGCTAAATTACTTTTAATTGTTTAAATTTCGTTCATTTAAGATCTGCACGCTGCCCGGCATGTCTTACTGATCTACTGCATAGATTATGAAATAATTGAGCCGGTTATTATAGAATTGCAACACGGAAAACTTTTGTTTATTTACTAAATGTCCAGTTTTTAGTGACATTTGCCTTGCGGCACATTGCTACTAGATTTTGTATTGGAATTTATGCATTTTTAAATTTTCAGCGTTTTCTTGTGGTGAAAAAGCGCGTGATATTCAATTGGCGCCATGCGATCATTGGCATGATTATTTTTATGCTAATTGCGGCGCCGATGGACGTCCTCGCGTCAAAAATTGTACAATTAATTGGAACAATACTAATGAATGTCAGAATGTGGTTCGCAAGATAAAACATGAAACATTTCGCGCGAGAGTAACTGCATGCGAGTGCGACAAAGATACACAATTTGAACATTTGTCTTTGATGGTTGCTTATACACTGTGAACGCATGCGCAACTTTTGAAAGTTGAAAGAGAAAACGTTTTATCGCTAATTTGCAAGTGATATTATTAATGATACACGTGTAATGTTAAAGTTTAGACAATGTTTAATTAATTTCCAATGTGTGATTACCTACATTTAGAATAAATTTGTATATTTTGTTGTGGGATCCAACGAGGCGCATGCGCCGCACATGGAAAGTTTTAGCGCTACGACGTACGCTTATGCGACGGTCTCGCGATCACGGACTGGTTCGCCGCGAGCATCTCAGCAAGCGCTGCGAGCGCCCCGCTGCGGCGCCATCTAGCATGTCAATGTTGTTAGGCTTACCAAATGGAGTCCTAATGGAGTCGATTTTATCCCGAAAACGCTGAGCTACATCGAGAGGCATGGAAATTCCGCGAGAAATGGTAAAGCGGGAACGGTGAACGAGCGCGGCAGTGCGTCGAGAGACGCGCGCAGTGCGTGCGCGGCGTGTGTGCGTGCGGGTGGTGCGAATGTTTACACCACATACATGGGAGACACCTTTGCTGTTTGGCTGGTGATTTGCGACAATTATCAGCATGCCGGAGGCGCTAAACCCTCGGAGGTGCTACCAAATAACACCGAGGAATCAAAGTATCGAGTCGGCGACGTTGTGTGACATAAATTGCGCTCAGAGTGACGACGGCGCGGCTTAGCACCAGTCAGTTTGATCAGTCATTTTTTATTTTTGTACAAAACAGTGCCAGAATCTAAGAAAAACAAACCGGGGGATGCTGTGCAGGTACCGGCAGTTGCTGAATTATAGTGCTACAGTGTGATATTGGCGCAAATTACCGCCGGCAGCAAAAGATGTTTGTAAACAAACATTTGTGTGCATTTGAGTGACCCACCAACCCATAGCACACACTACCAGTGGGAAGAGAAGCATGACTCTAATGGAATGATTTGTTTCAGACATAGATGAGCCTACCTTTCAAAAACTTTTGTACAGATAAATATGTAGTGAGTACTTATTGATAAATATATTTGAATGTGGCATTGCTAACCAATTGTATTTTAGGTTGTGCAGTGACAAGTTACAAGCTGCACTATTTTGTGCGATGTCCCAGAGAGCAAAACGGCCTAACCGCTCTGACGATGGCACCGTTCCTGTTAAGAGGCGCAAGGTATGTGTGTTTAACTTTGTTTGTTTTTTAGCATGCTCCTGTTCACAATTTACTTTACAATTGTGAATGGTCATGCAGAGTGTCCTAATGTCGTATATTTTAGCGGCCGACGGCGCAAGAGGAAGAAGAGGCGACCGCCTTGGCATGGCGGCCCTACAACGACCTCAAGATCTACAATCGCGCGACGACGGAAGCGCCCGCCGAGTTGTTTCGCAAAGATCTCATTAGTGCGATGAAGCTGCCCGACTCGGAGCCGCTCGCATCTAATGAGTACTGGGTGATTGTGGATCAGTGGAAGCAGGAGTGGGAACGCGGCGTGCAGGTGCCGGTTAATCCCGACTCGCTCCCCGAACCGAGCGTCACTGTCACCCACTGCGCCACCGTGCATGTTAAACCTCTCACAGAATACAAACCGTGAGTAATAGTAGAGTCATCATTACTGTTTCAGTTGCTTAATGGGTGTAATGATAAGCCCGTTTTGTTTCTTTTTTTTTATAATAACATTTGGCGATACTGTTTTAGGCCAAAAACGCGTTACGTTCGAATAACAAAAGATGACCGGTTCAAACCGGAGGAGCACTCCCTGTCGACGGCGCCGGCGCAGGCGGAGGCTGCGTGCTCGTACGATCTGGATGAATGCGACGTAGCGTGGTTGCGGTTGTTGAACGCCGAACGGCTGGCGACGGGACTGAGTCCCATAAGTGAAGATCAATTGGAGCGCGTCATCGAGCGTTACGAGTTGCGATGTTGGGATCGCATTCAGGCGATTCTCCGCAATGAGGAAGGACTCGGTATTGAGTACGATGAGAACGTCATCTGCGATGTGTGTCGCTCGCCGGACAGCGAGGAGGGCAACGAGATGGTGTTTTGTGACGCGTGCAACATCTGCGTGCATCAGGCGTGCTACGGTATTACGCGTATCCCCGAGGGTCAGTGGTTGTGCTGTACGTGCGCGATTAAACAGCGCCCGGACTGTGTCCTCTGCCCTAACAAGGGCGGCGCCATGAAGAGTACGCGATCGGGTCAGAAGTGGGCGCACGTGTCGTGTGCGCTTTGGATTCCGGAGGTGAGTATCGGCTGCGTGGAGCGCATGGAGCCGATCACGAAGATCTCCAGCATCCCGACATCGCGCTGGGCGCTCATCTGTGTGCTGTGCCGGGAGCGCGTCGGCGCGTGTATTCAGTGCTCGGTGAAGACGTGCAAGACGGCCTACCATGTGACGTGCGCGTTTAAGCATGGCCTTGAGATGCGTGCGATCATCGAGGACGAGAACGCCGACGACGGCGTCAAACTGCGTTCGTATTGCGAGAAGCACTCAAAGTCCGGTAAGAAGGATGGCGGTCGGGCGGCTGCCTGCTCGGGGTCCGAGGACGATGACTGCAAACGCAAAAAACGCAAGGATATGACCTCGGAGGAGAAGAATTTGGCGCGAGCCGCGCGACAGTCGGAGATTGAAGCCGAGTTTCATCGGCATGTGGCTGTTAAAGATGTGGTGACCGCATGTATTGATGTGGATAATGATGCGCTGGTTGCCATCTACGGCTATTGGAAGTTGAAGCGAAGAGCTGGTCACAATCGGCCGCTGCTTCCGCCCAAGTATGAGGATGTTGACCTGCTCTCACACAAGCAGGAACAAGCTGATCTCGAGCGCATGAAGATGATTGTACAACTGCGCCAGGACCTGGAGCGCGTGCGCAATCTCTGCTACATGGTCAGCCGACGTGAGAAACTTTCACGTTCGTACTTTAAGCTGCGCGAGTCGACGTTCCAGAAGCAGGTGGCTGTTTTGCGTTGTCCAAACCTTAGTCCGAAGGTAACCGACGCTGTGGTGGCGGCCAACCGTGGTCCTTCCATCTATGATCGCTTCTATTCGAACGCCGACGATGTCACCATGAACGTGGAGAGCATGATAGCGCGTATCACGGGTTGTAAGTCGCCGCAGCCGGATTCTGCGGACGAACGCAAGCCCGAGGTCAACGGTCTTTTCAAGGACGTTAAAAACAATCCGTACAAGAAGCTTTATTTCAACGGTTCCAGTAAACGGCGCAGTGCTAGTTTGTGTAGTAGTTTGTCGAGTAGTGAAGACTCCGCCGATGATAAGCGGTTGCCGAAACCGCGACACAACAAGGAGAACCGTCTGCACAGCAGTACCGATGACGAAAAACCGGTGATCAAGAAGGGTACGCCTGTGAAGAATAGCAAAGCTGAACGCCGCCGAAAACACTTCAGCATATCGCGCGCGCTTGATAGTAGCAGCGAGGAGGACGTTAAGCACGTGAAGAAGGAAGCGAACACGTCGAATTCACGACTGAAACAGATGGAGAGAGAGCTGGTGGGCTTCTCGGCGTCGGATAGCGATGAATTGATGCCTATCAAGACCTCCAGCCCACGATCCAGTCCGAACAAGCGTGCGATGTCCTCGATATACTCTGATAGCGATACCTCTGATTCATCGGCGCGCAACGACGCCAGCGACAGTCAGTCGCAGAGCAAACTGCGCACCAAGGCGGCGATGAAGGACTTCTCGCACAAGCAACTCAATAAGTCGCCCAATAAGAGCAGTCCCGAGAACAAGAAGAAAACAAAAGACGAAAGGGACAAGGATAAGGATAAAGAGAAGGAGAAGGAGGAAATCACGAGTAAGGACAAGGAGCGAAGCAAGAAGGATGCCAAGAAGAAGAACTACGTACCGTCTGATCTCATCGTGCCGCAGCGGCAAGCCGCTAAGAAAGCGACCGAAAACCTCAAGTCGACGACGGTCACGCGGGCCAAGGAAGTGCCAAGCGATGCGGACGTCAAGGCAGAACCGGAGAGAGAAAAGGAAAAGGAGAAAGAAAAAGAGAAGCCTATTCCACCAGTGTTAACAAAGCCGAAGAAACTGGGGCGGCCGCCGAAAGACCAGAAGGAGAAGGAACTCAAGGAGATGAGAGAGAAGGAAAAGGAGGAGAAGCGATTGAAGGAAATCAAGGAGAAGTCGTCGAAGGAGAGCAAAGAAAAGGAAGAGAAGAAGGAAGACATTTTCGACTTGGACAAAGAACTGGATAAGACTGATTTGGACATTCTCGCATACGTACCGCAACGCCAAGCGGCCAAGAAAGCAGCAGAGCACATCAAGGGACTAGGAAATAAACCTCTCACAGCGGCCGATTCTCTTGAAGAGAAGAAATCGCTTTCCAAAGATGATGAAAAACCGCATGAAAAGAGCCCGAAGAAAGACGACCGCAAGAAGGATGAGAAACCGCCGGCGAAACTTTCAGACAAGCGAAAATCTTCAACGAACACTAGCTCGAGTTCATCAAGCAGTTCTAGTAGTTCATCTTCATCGGCGAGTTCATCTTCCGATAGCGAGAGCGATAGTCCCCGCAAGAAGCCGGCTGCTGCGGAGAGTTTACCAAAGGCAGTCGAGCCGCCCACGGCGGCGGCGGCAGCTGGTGGAGGCCGGCGTAGCGGTGTCAAAGACTGGCCCTTTCTTGACAAGGCAGCCAAGTCCGCGGCATCCTCAAGCTCCTCCACCGATTCCAGCGACAGCGACGGCCCGCGAAACAATAAAGGGCGCGCAGCCTCCAAGTCTCCTGCTGCTCGACGGACATCCAATAAGTCTGGTCGGAAAGGCGCCGCCGACAAGAAGTCACCCGCGGCGGCACCTGAGAGAGAGAAATCTGCGCGACCACGCGGCCGACCGCCCGGCAGGGGACGCGCACGCGGTTCTCCGGGTGCAGCGACAACTCCCACGGCCGCCGTCGCCAAACCGAACTCAGGCGATCGGCTCGCAGCTCATGTCCGGCATGGAGATCTCGCTGAGCGTGAACGTGCCGAGCCCAGGGCCAAGGCCCGGAAGGGAAAATCAACTGACGTGGAAGAGCAGTCGGCTGCGATCGATGACCGGCAGCGCTCTCCTGCAAAGAACGATTCGAAACAAACGCCTGCCGATGTCAGCCCAGTCGGTAGGAAGGGCAAACTATTCTCTCCGGTCCGCAATGCCGAGTCGGAAAAGAAGATGAGATCGCCAGCGGCCGCCTCCAAGGAGCGCGAGCGTGAATGCGAAAAGAAAGAGGAAGAACCAGAACCGACCAATCTCGAGAAGGAGATCATGGAGCGTAAGGTCGCTAGCAATAAAACAAGTAAATCCAAGTTTGACCGCATGTTCTTCGACAACAAAGAAAAAGACAAGGCAATCAAGGAGAAAGTGAACAAATCGCCGGTGAAAGAGAACAAGGAACCGATTGGCACGCCACATGTCAAACAGGCGAGCCCCAACAAGAAATCACCATCTAAAGCGATCAAGAGCCTCGACGATATCTTCGCAAACAAGTTGTCCAACTCGTTGAACACCAAATCACCTTCTCATGAAAAAGTATTGCCACCTGTAAAGCACGAGGATGATATCTTCAAGATTGAGGACGATAAGAGTCGGCACAACTACCAAAACACACATTCCAACGATGATTTACTGGATGACATTGATGACATCTTTGACAATGACTTTGGCATTTCATCGAAAGACGAAGATATAATTAAATTGCCTTTAACTTTCAATATTGCTGGATCAATGGTCTTGCGAGAAGATTCCAAGGAAGACTCAGCGCGAGAAACATTGAATTTGGTGGAAAAACTGAGAGGTAACATGGGTTTGACTAAAAAGTCCACCAGCATAGACATCGATGATGCCATTAGTGTCGCATCGAGTAAACCAGAAGACCGCATGGATTCTGATCAAAGCGTGCCGCAGGTGCTGGATGAAAAACCCGATGAAAAGGAACTTCCACCTATGGCGCCGTCAATTGCACTGCAGCCACAAATCAATCTTCAGGTCGCCATTACCAAGTTCGAGGAGAAGACTTACAAGTTTGACAGGAGCGACGCACACACGGAGGATAAATCCGTGCCGGACATGCAGCAGCATACTGACGGTGCAGCGCAGGCGGACGAACGATGGGTACCACCTAGCGATTACACTCCGTCTACTTTTGAAAACAAACCCGCTTCTATGTTACTGCACGACGACCCGGCGGCGATGGCAAAGAGTCAGAGTCCAATGGGAGCTGATCGTCGTCATGTGGCACGTACGCCTTTCTTGGACGCTGCTTCTTCTCTGGATTGCATGCCTAGCCCGACGCCGTATAATGATCTGCATCCGCAAGGTAAATGGGCGGAGGCTAATCTTATGCCCAATCGACGCAGTTCTTCAAGTTCGGTAGCCAGTTCGGCGAGTAATATATCACGTCGTAACAATGACGATGATGAGCTGCTGAAACGACACGACTTGCCCGTTGCTCCTAACTTTGGTCATCCCGCAATGGACGTTATCAACAACCTGCCAAACCTGTTGCCGCAGCCCAATCTGCTTCAATTTCCACCGAATGCGTTGGATCCTGCCTTCCAGCAGTTTTCCAACGTTGCGAATCAGTTTGTGGGTAATCCGGTGAGTCTTTTTCCACCGGCTAACGCGAACGCGCAGTTGCCGTTCCCTTCGCCTGGAGCGGCCATGTTTCCGCCGCCATTTGGAGCTTCGTATCCTACACCTTTGTCTGTGATTCCACCGTTGAGTAAACCGAGCGAAGAGATGAATATCCCACAAACGGCAGCGTTTACCTCCTCGCAGCACAACATGGCTCTGACAGCTGCGATGGTCAACATGACCAATGCGTTTGCTCCTGCGTCTAAAGCCGATGACGAGGACGATACCGCATGCGGGATGGATATTGTCCCAGGAGTGGGCACAATGTCTGATATTGAAGCCCTGCCCGGGAAGAACGAACTCAAGGATGAAGCTCCAATGGTTCAAGCGCAAACGCCCGTACCGGTGCCGGATGCTTCGCCAGCGCTGAGCAATTCCACGCCCAATCACGTGCAACCGTCGCCGAATCCGTCCGTCAAGTCGAACAGTTCCTCAGGGAAGAAGTCCCCAAGCAAACCGACGCGAACCTCGGCACGTTTTCTCTCACAGCACCTGCAAGAGAAGAAATCACCCAGCAAGTCGCCTGGAAAGTCTCCGCGACAGGATCTCAAAGCGTCTTCCACCGGCAAAAAGGAGAAGAAAGTCGGAAAGGGCAGCAGTGGGCGAGGCGCCCAATCACAGAATCGAGGACGAGGGCGTGGACGGGGACGAGGACGTCCGCCAAACGCATCGGTACATCATCACAACGAGTTCGCTTTCGATGTTAACACCATTCACAACAAATTGGTTGGCACCGTGTATGATCTTGATTTCGATGACGATATGAACGAGTGCGGCGACTTGCGAGCAATGCGCGAGCGACGCAAGTCTTCGGATCCACATGATGCAAGGAAAGCAGATTCGCCGAAATTCACGAGTCCGTCACACAAAAATCGGTATCATTTGAGTGAGCTGCGACCACCGACGCCCATTAGTGACACGCAGAGCTCGCTTTCGAAACCAACATCACCCGAACCGCAGATAGAGTGCGAGAAAACGTTCCCAACGGTAGTGCCGCCAGTAATGCCAGGGCCGGTGGACATGCGCACTTACAGCAGTACGCTAGAGAGTTCCACGTATCAGGAGAGCAGTCTTATGAAGTTTAACAGCACAGTTCCGCCATCGATAGATCTCGCTGCTCAGGAACACGAACAAGAGTTGGAAGAGTTTGACAAAGAATTGCAAAATTCTTTAGCGAAACAACCTGAAGAACCAACGATGCCTGAAATTAATAAGATCAAGGTATCTTTGTCGGACTCTCGAAATCAACTCAAAGTCAAGATCAAGGGCCCGATTGCGAATTACACATCGTCTTATAGCAGCACAGTCACACCTCTTCCGCCTGTAAGCGATTCAATCACAAATGCGCACGCACTCTACACCAATTCTATCTCAAACGCGATCAACAATACGCCGGTTAACACCAACTCAGGCGTTACCAACTTGCATCGAATGCGCAAGAAGGAACTTCTTCGTCAGTATTGTTCTCAGGGTATGAACACCTCGGATCCTCTTAATATCACGCCTGGTGTGTCCACGCCAGTGACGCCTTCTTTAAACCGCACCATCATCACAATTCCAAAGGCGGTTGCGTCGATGACGTCCATCCCAACCAAGGACGATTATCGCGACTACCGTACGGGTAACGACGAGATCTTTGAGACGAAGATTCGCAAGGATAAACCGAAATCTGGTCTTAGAGAGTTGCGACAATTGGATGTGCCTTTCGGCAGTATTATGACCAACATGGAGGATGAGAACTCAACGGAGAGGCGACGATCGATTGGTTCGAATAACGGTACCAATCCGAGCGAAAAGCGACGTGGTCGACCACCGAGAAGTGCTTCTTCAGGACTACCACCTGGTCAGCAGACAGCTCCGAAGTTGAAGATTAAGATTGGTGCTAACAATATCGTATCCAGTGCTAATGTGGAACCGTTGCCGGCGTTGAACGATTCGAAGATCGATGATAGAAGGGATAGGATTCGCCCGCCGAAGAAACGTCTCTCTGCTTCGGTGGCAAAGCCTTCAGTTGAGGATCTTAAGCGCGAGAGCATGAAATTCCGTAAACAGGTGATGGCCGACTTCAGCGAAAAGAGTGAAAAGAGCGAACGCAAAGAAAAGAAGAAGAAGGATAAGGATAAAGACAAGAGCAGTCGCAAGAGTAAAAAGAAAAAGAAGCAAGACCTGCAGATCGTGGCCCCCGCAGCGACAGACTCCAACAAGTTGATCATCCGCCTGCGGAAGAACGACGATGCGACGACGGCGCCGCACCCGCCACCAACATCAACACCCGCGGAAGTGAATAAAATCGAGTGCGCGAACGTCGCCGATAACGAGCGTGCCGGTGAACGGACAGAAGGTAAAAGTGTCGACGGGGAAGTGAGTGCGAACAAGGCGGACGCGCCGCACGATGCCGCCATTGTGAAATCCGTCGTAAACGACGAACGGACGAGCGGTGGTAACGCGAGCGCGAGTGACCAGGACCGAGAGAAGATCGTGACGCCCATCAAGCTGAAGCTAGCACGATGCAAGGAGGGATTCGTGATGAAGGCGCCGACTCAGGCGGTAGCGGACGGCGGCCATCCGCCGAAGGCTGCGGCGCCCGCATCACCGGCGGCGGCCACCCTGAATCTCCACGAACCTACACCACCGCCGCCGGTGCACGCGCCGACCCCGCTGCCGCTCAACAAGGACTGCGAGGTTAGATGATAGAGCGCAGCGGCGAGACTAAATTATTTATATCGTAGCATTCTAATGATAATATGAAATTAATTATGAAGAGGTGCGGACGTAGACGGAGGCGTATAAGCAATTTGTACATAGCAGTCAGATTTAAATTAATTTTAACTTAAATGACGAGATCACAAACGAAGCGCGTGGCTTCAGAGCTGAGCGCCCGTTGAAATTCTATTATAAATACGAAAATGGCGCGCGCCTGGCAGCGCCACCTGATGATGGTATTGTAACATAAGCCAGCTTGCCGCCCACAGCGGCGGTGAGCGTGTAAATATTTATGCTGTATGTCGTTTTTAGTAGTTAGGACAAGAGCCCATCTCACGCCAGACTATTGTGTATGTCTTTGATTATTTCGATGTACAAAATGTCAATTACATTCACGCAACAAGCAAAAAGCAAGATGGCGGCGCGCGAGACATGCGAGGCAGGCGGGGCTCGCGCGCAGCATCGGAAGGACACAATGTATTCATATTTTTGTACATACTTGTAAGTTATTATGGTAATAACTGTGAATATTATTGATAATTAATTATACATAGCGCTAATTTATATTATTAATTAAATGATATGCATATATTGACGCCGGAGCGGAGGATGAGGAGGAGGAGGAGGAGGAGGGGAGGAAATGTTTCATTTGATGAAATGAATGATTAACTCGTGTTGACAATTTTTGATATAGCTAGCAATCGTTATTCTACTACCCAAACCTTAAATGATAAATTAGAGAAATTCGATTACTGCGATTCGTACAATGTATAAAACCAACTCAAAAGCAAAGCGAACACAAAAACAGCTGAACGTTTTTTTTGTAAACATGTGAATGCGTAGCGAGATGATAATGAGAAATTTTGAAACTGTACAGGAACAAATGGCTTGCGTGAGTGCAATTTTTATTTATTACGAATTGTTGTTGTCAAGGCCATTAATTTATCATTATGAGTGTAATTGTTTGAGATGGAAATTATTTTTTTGTACATTCTCGTTTTATATTTTATTAATTTTGTGGTCGTTTCATTCAGTACTCGTGTACAAAATCGAGCAAATCTCTTTCAATCTATTATTTTTTTTTTTGTACTAAGCACGTGTTATTGAAATGATGATTTTTACTTAACGATGAAAGAACATTGAAAACAAAAGCTGTCGAAGCGACAAAAGATTTTCCACAGCAATCAGCAAGCAAACACAAAATACGATTATAAAATACAATTATTTACGATTATTATTATATTATAAGATATTTTATTTTTTATACCTGATGTTTTTTTTTTTATTTAAGTGAGAAGCGAAAGAGATTTTATTAAAGAGCATCCTTTTATTTATAGTCACTGACACACAACTACACAAACAACACAACCATTTTTAACTGCATTCGTTTGTTAAGCAAGTGGTCAACAAAATGCACAAGCCATTTGTTTTTCTCTCCATGTTTTGAAACTCTTACAGCAAACAGCGGAATATATGATATTAAATTAAACATTGATGCGAATTATGTAATGATGTGTGATCTTGATTGATCGAGAAGCGTTTAGCGAAAAATAATTGCAATGATCTGGAGTTTCCGACTGGTTTCTGTACGCGTGCAGACAACGCGACAAATTCAACGAATTCCAACGCTTGCAAAGCCACATTTCATAAATTAAGGTAAATTTTATATTTCAGGACATCACCATTCAATCATTATTGTGAATTTACTTACTAAAGATGTTAAATCAACCGTAGAAATTTGCACAAACAAAAAATTCGGTTTTAAAAAAGCACGTTGTTCTCTTGTAAATTATTTCGTGATGAATTTGAGTGCTTTGTCTTCATGTGGGGAACCAAGTCGAAACTATAAATTAATTACTAAGAGAAAACAAAAAATATTATTAATCGTATTGTACCTATCTTGTAAATAAACTAATGATTATTACGTAAATATTTTGTACATCTTTAGATTCATTTTAAAATTCAATGGCCACGTGCGTGTCCAGTGGTTTCATTCCTGCTATTTTTTTTGTTTGTAACATGTGTTGCCTATATTAATTTTTTTAATGCATTTTTTATCAGAGGTTTACATACAAACTTAATATAATATTTTGTATCACGAAAGAAAAAAATATTTGATTCGGTTTCGATAAAACACATTTTAGATGAAGAATTATTTTAAAATTTAATTTTTGAGATGATTTTTGTTAAAATACATGCAGATAAAGCGGTTAACTATAAAAAGTCCTTGTTTGTTTCATTGTTTAACAAGTTGCCTATATCCACAGGATAATTTGCAAAATACTATCTGCCATTTTGACTATTTGGCTAATTTGACTGCAAATTTTGAGTCAATCCACCACGAATTAACCAAAATTAAACATTAAATAACCACACATTGTAAATTGAACAAAAAACCCCAGTGCGTTAATGCCTCCGACGCAAATCTTCGCTTAATGCGCCGTAATCCGTGCACTGTTTCGGTCGATCGCGTCCAATCGGAAAATCGCCTTCTTCCGAATCCGTTTTCTTCGATTTTCCTTGGGCCGCGCGCTGTGGCGGCGGACTCGCGCGCCAAACATCAATACGCCGATCGTCGTGTGCGTTCGCCGTGGCGTCGGCGGTGTTGGCGGCGGCGGCGGCGCGCTCACTCTGTGGGTGTTACAATCAATAGGGGCAGCCCGTCGGCGGCGCGCGTGTCGGTGTCGGGCAGTCGCGCGGTGGCAAACGGTGCGCGAGTGTGCGGCCCTCAAAAGCCAGAGTGTGAATGAGAGCGCTCGCGTTGTGATATTTAACGCAAGAGCGATATATCATCATGCAGCCGCCGCCGAGAAAGGTGCGAAACTCAACAATTCACTTCCAAAACCCACTGAAAATCACTTAAAATCACAATCAAATCGGAATTATTTCAATTTGCGCGTTCAACTGGTGGCAAAATTGTTGAAAATCCATGTTGGCTATCAATGTGGGAATCTGGGAATGTGGGCAAATGTGTCATGAGTGCCAGCGGGATGGTGATGCGAGCGTGTTTTTGTGATTTCAGGGCAACTACGCGAAGTTCCTCAAGAACCTGCACTCCGAGCAGGTGAACAAACTGCTGGCGAAGAATCAGCACGAGTGTGATCTACTCGAGGATATTCGCACGTTTATTATCAAAAGATGCGCCATCGAACGATCCTATTCAGATGTAAGGCACCATTTTATAACGATTTAAACACTCACGCATTACTTTTTTTTCGATTTCTAACTCAACGCGAGAATAATTATAAGCGATTTTTCACTCGTGTTAAATATCGATTTTCGTGTTTGTATTTTTTAGGCGCTGCTTAAAATATCGTCAGCTTATCTCAATAAGAAAATACCCAATATACCCGACATCAAGCTGGATGGCGGTGATGAAAAATGGTAATATGTTTAAAATATATTTAAATCATGCTATAACTTACGTTTCTTCAGGAATATGTGGAATGTTTGGCGCACAGTACTCGAAGAAAACGAAAAATTAGCAAGGGCACGTCTTGCAGCTGTCGAAGTCTTTCAGCAGCAGATCGCAGAAGAAGCGAAAGTTCTGCGATCACATAAAGTAGCTGCATCGAAAAAAGTAAGCAAAAAAAAAACCCAGCAAACTTTATTTCACTCATCATCGATATTACAAAGCGACGCCATTTATATCTACCGCCCTGGGGAATTCTGGCCACACACCACTGATCCAATTACCTACACGCCGTTTTTAATTTTAATGTATTCCATTGATACTTCGTGCGTGAAGTGAATCAAATCAAACCGAGCGCTAATAATAACTCGTTCGTATTTTGATTTGCTGTAAATAAAACAATGTTTGTTTACTGACGCATGCATGGTTGCCTATACTATACAAAATAAAATACTTTCAGTGTGTGGATCAATTGGCGCTCGTTCAAAAGGAACTACAGACCTGTGTGCAGGACGTGGACAAAACGAAAAAGCTCTACTTCGATGAAGAACACTGCGCACATGATGTCAGAGATAAAGCACGCGATATTGAAGAAAAGTACGTATATCAATTACAATATATAGTGGACCATTGTGGTTATGATGAATAAATTTGCAGGTTAAAAAAGAAAAAAGGTTCCTTCTTTCAGTCCATCACATCGCTACAAAAGAACAGCGCTAAGTTTTCATCGAAACGTGAACAACTCGAAGAAAAGTCCGCAGGCGCACGAAATGACTACTTATTGTGCTTAGCAGCTGCGAACGCGCATCAAAATCGCTACTTCCTGGTGGATTTGCAGCTGTGTATGTCCACAATGGAGAGTAATGTCTTTGACAAAGTAGCCGAATTTCTAATGCTTATGGGTCGCACCGAGCTGCTCACTTGTTCGGCAATGCAAAACTCTTTCTCGACGATTCGTGACCAGGCCAAGCAGTTAACCCGCGAGTATAATCTGCAATGCGTTTACCTGTACTACCCCGTGCTCAAACAGCACATTCAGTATGAGTACGAGCCATGCGACAACGACCCCATAGAGGTGATCAGCGCAGATCATGAAAACGCCGCTGCTACGCTCAGCAAGGAGGCACGCAGATGGGCGACAAAGATCGCGCGAGAAAACGCCAATATTCGTGACGGCGTTAGAAAACTGCAGATTTATCATGCGTTGAGGGAATCCGGGCAGAGGGTACGAAGTGCATTCATTTAAATTTAATGAGCTGTAAAATTGTTTGACATGAATCGAGTGTGAATGCTTTCAATTGAATTAAAATCAAACACTTGGTTGGTTTTAGGTGGATCCGAACGATCAAAACGGGCCAGATTTAGATACAAAGATGGAGGATCTCAAGCAGTCCATACGTCGCTCGGAAACGTCCAAAATGAAAGCGGAAGCGCGATTGGAATACCTGCGAGCTGGCGGGGTGAATGTTGACGAATGGCTTCAAGAGGCAGAAACACTAAATGTACAGGATATACAAAGATCAGCTAGTTCTCTATCAGTAAGTATCTTTTAAAAAAATGTTTTTTGTGTTTTTAATGTTTTTTTATGCGTTGAAGGATCATCCAAGTTCAGACTCATATTACGATAGTGATTTTGCTGATGGAGAACCTAGCGCAACGCCACAACCGCCTGTGGACGTTAAAATTGAAACAGATTACGATGAACGGCCTGTTGTTGACAGCGACGAAGAAGACTCCCAACAGGAGGTCGACGGTGAGTGGGGTAGGGCAACGACTTCATACTACGCAACGAGTGTTTAGCATGATGTCTGTTGCGCACATTTTCAATATTTGCTTAAAACATTTACGATACATTAACAATTAAACACGATTTTAACACTTTTAACAAATTTTCACTTTAAATTACTCTTTTATAACAATTAACACGAACTTATGGGTGTTTTTTCTGGATGAAACTCAGCTTATCTACGCAAATATGCTTTGATGGTCAATTTGATATCCATTTTATCAAATTTAAGCTTGGCTCGCTCGCATTTCAAGCTGATAATCGCTGAGCAATGTTTTCACTTCATATAAACAATTACAATTACTTCTTTTGCATACTACCTTTATTTTTACTAATATATTGTTTAGCAATGCTCGAGCAAGAACGACAGAGGATAGAACAAATGACAGCCGGTTGGGATGATCCCACCCAAGTTGATTGGGGTGCGGTGGCTGGTGAAGAAACCGAAGCAGTTGCGGATGCCGCTCCAGCTGAAGAACCCGCCCCGCCAACTGCAGTGTTAAAATGTACCGCTATATATTCCTATACGGTAAAGAATATTAATCAAAATAATATTAATTTAGATTTAATTCATAAAAAAATATTTGCAGGCACAAAATCCAGATGAATTAACAATTGTGGAAAATGAACAACTTGAGGTAGTTGGTGAAGGCGACGGTGACGGATGGTTACGCGCAAGAAATTATCGCGGAGAAGAAGGATACGTCCCACATAACTACCTCGATGTGGAACGAGAGCAATCAGCGACAACGCCTGGCCTTCAAAACCAAATCTCCTTCTCTTCTGTAGACTACACTATTGACCAGGAGGATGATGTGACGGCAAACACAGACACCGCCAATCAATCGCCCGATCAAGTTTCGGTTATTGCCGCCCCCACAGCCGCCATTCAACCGGACGCATTCGAACCAAAAACTGAATATTGCGTCGCACTTTATGACTACGACGGTGATCCACCTGAAGAGTTAACCTTCGATGAAGGCAATGTTATTAGGTTGATCAGTAGATGCGCGCACAGTATCGATGACGGGTGGTGGAAAGGTGAATTGGAGGGGCGTATTGGTAACTTCCCTTCACTGGTGGTTGAGCTATGTGACGAATATGGTGAACCATTATCGAATCCAGAGGATCAAAGCCCACCACCATCGGCACCACCGGTGTTTACTCCACCGGACGTACCGGAGGATTTTATTAATGACATGGACATTACGCCAACTGAGGATGACATGCCGCTGCCGGGGTTTGAGCCGCCTAGCATAGCTCCACCTCCGGCACCACCTGGCGCGGAAGCGGAATCTGACCCGGAACCGCCCACACCTCCAGCTAATTCCGCCAGGTTCAAAATGGAGATGACCAGAGGGCAGAAAGAGCAATACGGCACGCAATTTGAAGGCAGTGACATTCCAAGTAGGATAATATCATAAGTTAATTTAACTTAAAATAAAAAATCATTTTTTGTAGCAATTGATATCACAACAGTAGCGACAGTAGATTCCGACGGTAATGAAAAAGAAGACGAAGAAGACGATGATGGATTGGGCGTGGTGCAGATAGAAATAACAGCTGCCACGCCCATGATGGAAGAACCGGAGCAACCATTCCCCCCACCAGAGGAGTCCAGCAATCATGAACAGGATGATCACGAACCAGAAGAATTACCACCAGTCCCCGAAGAAGAAGAGGAAGAAACACCTCGTATGTGCCGCAAACCACCTCAGGCACCAGTTGCTTCAGACGATGGTGACCTACCCCATGTGGCCGATACTCCACCCTGCCCGATTAGTAGCAGTTCCGAGGGCGATACCACGGGCCCATCAACAGCGGAAAATTCAGTCAGCCACGCTCCACCTCAGCAAGGGTCAGAGGATGCACCCAAACAAGTGGTCGGCGGCAGGGCAAGCATTCCCGACGAACTGGAGCCGCACCAATTGGCGCGGCTGCAAGAACTCAAGGAGTCCAACGCATAGTACGCCTAGTGCAAGTAAGATTATTTAAAATTTAATAAGCGAGCGCGGACGCCGGAATAATGAAGAAATAAATAAACATGATATACATGAAGGTAAGGCTCCTATAGGTTTAATTGTGCGTACGCTTTATATAACAATTTAAGCTGCTTTTGATCATTTGAGCATCTCTTCGACGACAAACTCAATAACAAACAGGCGCAAACAATGAATAAATGACGGGTCAATTATAGTTTCCATTACAGACGTCATGCATCCCTTATATTACGAAAATAGAAAGTATGTTATTACAAATTAATTGAATAATCTATGTTTCTCCTATGGCGTCAAGGAGATGTTCGGCAAAAGCATCAATTTGTAAATTATGAACAGAGTGTTAAATTCGCGTTTGAAGAAAAATGAAAAAAAAGTAAGAAAAATGAAATTCGACGACATAGCGGATAGATTAATTATAAACACAATAAAAATATTAGCGGGTATTCAATTGAAATTAACTACAAATTACATCCGAGAAGGTTTACACTAAAAGTATTGCGTTACAATCGTTTAAAACAATAGGAAACGTTAAACTTGTGTATTTGTATGCAACGAGAACTTTTTTATTTGACAGCTATGTTGATGTCAATGACGAATATTTTTCATAACCTAGTAAATCTGCTAGACATTTGCAAATGCAATGAAAAACTGCAATCTTATGACTTGTGACATAATTTACGCTTGTGTACAGTTCAAGCAGCGCGATAGTAGAAACGTTCGATGGATTTCGTTTGTAAACTAAGAGAAAATGGCGGCCGCGGTACTCAAACAAGCATTAGAAACTAACAATAGCAATAATTTCATTTCGTTTGAATGTTAACCAAGCGAAAATTGCGGAAAAAGTGCGCAAAATGTCAAAAAAATCGTCATGCGAATGTCAAACAAAAACAAATATCATTTATCATCATGTAGATTGTGTACATACTTAACGTTAAACACTAAAGAAGTGAACAAACAAAGCAAAACACTCACAAACACTCACTTACACAGGCGTCATTTTTTGAGAAGAAAAAAAAAACGTTTTAAATGATAAATTGAAATATTGATTGTGTAATTATCATTATTGTTAAGTATTATTACTATTACAAATTGTAACATTAAGTAGGCGAATGTGGTGTAGCGACTGTTTTGTTTTAAGTTTGTAAACCAGTAGAGGCTGATCACAGTGTGTGAAAATGCGTCGACGTCGATTTGTTTTATACGTTGCATCGACGGACGCAGGCGCAGAAGAAACTCGTTGTCTGTAATTATTTATTACCATTAATTAGTTGTTAAGAGAAGGTAAAAGTAAACAAATTAAATAATTAAGTACGAACCTGGGCGCCTATTATAAATGAGAATAACGTATAGATAACACTCATTCGTATGTACTTACTTACTTACGTTATAAACTTATGACAAGGACGAAGAGGAAATTGAGGAAGAATATTATTGTTAATCGTCACATCTATACTTGACTACATCTTGATATTTTCTCATTATCTTCTTCGTTGTCCGACTCGTTTGCTGAAAAGCCAAACAAAACAATTAATTAATTACAATTTTGAGACACTCTGCAATATTTGCAGGTTGAAAAAAAAAACAAATAAAATTGCAAGCTCGAATCGATGATATGAACAACACAAAACTAAAAAAAAACTAAAACAAATGAAGAACGGTAAATAAATGTTACTTGAGTGTAGACAAAGTGTTGACGAATGATTTGTTTTTTGAATGGTAGTGTTTAACAAAGCGAACGAAAGATTAATTACGTTTATTTTGCTTTACGAATCTCCTAACCTCTAAAGAAATGTCGAAGGTGTGGAAATCAATCACTTCACAAGTGCTTTTTATCGTAGATTAACGTTTAAATGTGTTTACTTACTGCTTTCCAACGTTGATTAAACTTTGGTTCGATTTTTAGTGTATAGCCTATAGCGGTAACTGTGGAACCCGACGTGACATAAAACTAACCTCAACTCCGTGCTATGCGCGCGCTAATCCTGCTGGCTTAAATCGCGATCATAACCTCTCACTCAGCACACGACCCAAAACAATATTCGATGGATACACGTGACGTATGTGATTAGATGCCGTTTGTGAGCGCGATAGAAAAGTATATAACACACGTTTGAATGTAATATTTAAATTCCCCGTCTTCTTTCAGCGGTGCCTTCTTATATTGTAAAGAAACAAATCATTTAACAAAAACGAAACGACTACTCTCAGAAAACACGAGATCATCAAACTAACACAATTTAAATGAAGCAAAACAAAAAAAAAATAAGGTCGCAGTCACACAAATGAAAAAACATAGTATAATGCTCTTGTTCAAGTGAATTTTTCCTTCTTACCTAAGCGTAATGTAAACCTAAACGTACCTATACGATTCGTATTCGACACAATTTGATTTTTGTCTGATATTATTGAAGAAAAACCAAAGAAAAACATGAAAAACAAATCTAACAAAAATGTACTTATTACCCAAGCGAATAACTATAAATAAAATTATGTAGAACAGTGAAAAATAATCGATACTTAAATTGTCTCAAAATTTTATTCCCGATTCAGTTCTTATACCGCAAGTCAAGTAAAAGAAAGACGGGAATAATAATACCACAAATGGCCTTAATTTTTGGGCCAATTCTCACGGTCAAATAGACTAAATTATCGATTAATGTATGCAAATAACTCCGATGTGAACTCACCTATGCCACCCCCATGTGAAAGACCAGCGACTCGTGATAAAACCATCGGTGAATAATCCATCACTATGGAAATCCTGCGCGTCCATCCGTAAACCAACTCTATCCGAATCTGTATCCTTTGAACACTCAGTCTTCCTACACCTGCGATAAAAGTGACTACGAAGGCAGGCAGAATGTCGCAGCAAAATAGCCCGCGGGATTCCATCTCGGACTCCTCGGGGAGCTCCCCGAATGCAGTTTATATGCTGCGCAGCGATAAGGAGACGTCCGACCTTATTCTCTTTGGACAATTGGTAGCAAAACATCAACGTTCCGCGACTGTACGAAGAGCTAGTAGTGCCTCGCTGCGCAACAAGCAGGATTCATTCGCTAAAAGTCAGGATGATCTTACTGTTCCGGTGAACCCACCGCCCGAACGCGGATATCGAAGATCTTTGGATAGTACTTACCGACAAAGCTTGGAATCCATCTCGGAGTATAAACCGAAGAATTTCGTGTCTTCGACATCCCTGGGGCCAACACCGTATCGAGATAACTTGGAGTCAACTTGTTCCGATTGTACGGATTATGCAACACGCAGTGCAACGGTTGAGCGTGATGGAATGCATGATAATCGTACGTTTCAATCGCCGAGTTCGGCGAGTTATCTCAGTTGGATTGAAAGTGTGAATGCGGCCACCATCAGCGCCACCTCTGCCACCCCAACAAAGCTACCCAACTCGGCCAATTCCACTCTGGATGAGAAAAACATGGATGTCGACAGCAAAGTGGGCGAGTGGAATAATTTCTGGTTGAATTACAATAATCCGCACACGAGGTACATGACCAGCCCGCATGTCGGCAACTCAACGACGTGCGATGATCGCACCGGGGATGATGTTTCTGATTGTAAGAGTACTTGCAGCACGCAGAGGGAGTTCAACGAGAAGCTGGCGGGCGAGCAGGTGGTTCTTACCTTTGACGAGGTGCAGGAGGCGTTGAATTGTGCTCAGCGCGTGGTGGACATTCTGCAGAAGGCGATCAAGCGCAGCGACAACGACGTGGAACTATTCATCGAACGTGGCCGCCATGATTCTTATTATTCGACGCATACGGTGAGCATATTGGGTTGCCTATCTTAATATATTTTATTAATATAATTATTGTATGGTTGTAGATATCAGTCAACGAAGACAGTTACCGCGATCGTTTCTTCTCGTTTGATGCACAAACGACACCGCGGCCATCTTTAAAACCGCAACCCACCACACAACAACCGCAACCAACGTCGAATAGTTGTATAAACGCGATATTAAACACCGGCGTGGCGGACATCTTGAAGCGTGTGATCAACAAGCGTCGTGAAGTGCTCACATCCGACGAAGGACAGAGCACGCCCCGGAGCAGCTTTTCCGAGTGGTCGTCGGGTGCTAAATAATATTTAATGAGTCACATCATCAATTTTATCATCAAGATACAAGAAAGCATTATTTAGTACATATTTACACTCATTCATATAGTCAGTGCTCAAATTAATGCTAATACGATGTAAAGCATGCTAATTTAATGATTATTCAACAATTAAGACAATCACAGAAGTAAATATTACTGTTTTAAATGATGGCGGCGTATGGCAACCATTTTTCTGCAATTTTTGATTATGAAACTTTGTAAAATATTGTACCCTATGGTTCAAACACACAAACTAATTGTTTATGAATGTTGTATTTGCGAATAATACGAATTGTTTAAATTATTTTCGTTATTTCCGCGCAGACAATCACGGACGACTTGTTGTTTTCATTGTATTAACATTTAATTAACTTTCAACTAGTCTTAAGTCACTTTTGATGTTTTATGCTGTACGTTTATGTTACCTGGCTTAAGTTCGAATTTGGCGCTCTGTGCCGCTGCATTTGCTTATGTGTTAAATGTGTTTACGTTTACGTTTGCACCTTTCTCTTTCAGAAAAATTCTGCTTTCAGTGCAAGAGTGTTGTGGCAGTGGCAAGAGGCCAGCACCAGTACTTTCAGTGCACGTCAACACCACACGGAATTCCAGCACATCGAATTCGCAGAAGAAGAGCTGCTTAATTTAAGTCTGTGGAAGACCCTTCGCGAGTTAAGTCGAAGTGCGCACAATAGTAGTACATCCGGATGTCCGAAAGAGATTAGCAACGAATTTTGGAGCTGCAGATGGAACGTATGTTGCGCTAGCGGCTGGAACCGACGAAAATACAGCGAAGAAGACGAAGGTGAGGCCCAAATTCAATAAAATCGATGTTAAATATTATAGGTTATTTCCTATTTAAGTCTACTTTAGTACAATTTGAGGTTGTAGTTTAGAAATCATGGCTACCACAGAACAATTCTCCCTTCGATGGAACAACTTTCACTCAAACATTGCATCAGGTTTCCATGACTTACTCGAAGCAGCTGACTTGGTGGATGTGACTTTGGCTGTTGAGGGTCAATTCCTGCATGCACACAAACTGGTGCTGTCTATATGCAGTCCATATTTCAAGGAGATGTTCAAGCAGAACCCATGCAAGCATCCAATCATTATATTGAAGGATGTAACACATAAAAATCTCAAAGATATTCTTGAGTTCATGTATTTGGGGGAAGTGAATGTCTTGAGGGAGAATCTGCCAGTTTTCCTAAGGACTGCAGAGCTTCTGCAAGTAAAAGGACTCAGTTGTGATGATACTGTGAGTAATTATTTAAAAATCTGCTTTATGAGACTGAAAGTTATTGTATTTTACAGCAAAGTAATAGTTCAAAGTCATCTGGTAGCAATAGCAATAGCAACATTAAGATGGAGGATGATCAAAGTGATTTGCACGAAGCATACGACGATTACGAAGAGAATATTGTGCAAATGCCGGTAACCAACAGCAGTCCGAACAAACGCTCAAAGCATGTGCAGAACTCGAACGCGAAGAAGGTGCGCAACGCCGTGGAGGAGCTAAGTAATCTAAACCAAAAACAGGCGGCCAAAGATGACACAGACGAACCGCGCTATTCCGAGTCGCCTGTAGCCAGGAGCAACGACTACGAAGGCGACGATTTGTCCATGGAGTTTAAGCAGAATAATGACTCAGGTGTTGGATTCATGAACAACTCAAACAATAGTGAGATTGCTGGACAAGAACAAGGTAAGATTTTCGTTCCATTTGCGAATAAACTTTGAAAAATCTTAAACGCATGATTGATAGTTGGCTTGCATTTTATTTCATGGCTTGACATAACAAACAGGACTGGCAAGGTACTAAACATTAATATACAGCAATATTAACCAAAATCAGCTCTGCTTGATAATAATAATAAAAATGCAACAAATGAACATGCGAATGGCGTTTTGGCACGACTTGTGAGTTGTATTCGATGTATCGAACAAATGGAATTGTTTGAAAATAGGTTATATAGGTGGTGTGTTAGGGCCGAGCCAAAAATTCAAGTGCAAGCAATGCGGGCGGGCATTCACACGGCGCGATCACCTCAAGACGCACGAGAAGAACATCCATGGCGACGCCGCGGGCCCGTTTGCGTGCAAAATGTGCGCGCAGTATTACAAGAACGCCGAAAGTCTGCGCAAGCACGTCGCCAAGTTTCATCTGCACCACCTGGCGAACAAGACTGTTCTCCTCGACCAGCGAGTTTAACTGCAACAAGTGCAATTTGAATGATATTTAATAATACACAATACTCTAAATCAAGCAAAATGACTGAGAAACTTTAGACAAAAACGACTGAATATTGTTAATTATTGTAAGATTAATCTCTCTAGTCGAGTGCCAATCATTTAAGAAGCAAATCTACACGATTTTCTTGGGGAAACTAGTTGGTTACTTCTTTCTTTACTGTGGTGATAGCTTTCTGGGTTTACAGGGTGCTAATTTGTGTACTAAAGTATTGAAGTTGCATATATTCTTATCAGTAAAGATTTCATTCATTTTTTTTTATTATTGAATATGCAAAATCATTGCTTTGGTGCACATTAAAAACATTACTTTGTACGTCTGGTGGTTCGGTTGCTTCTCAAAGGTAAAAACTATGTGATTCGTCGCTTGCTCGTCGGCCATTTTGTTTAACCGCTCAACTTTCAGACATAATTACCTTCACCGTAGACGAAAAAGGCCACGTCTACTGCCCGTATTGCTACAAGAAGTTCGTGAATCGCTACAATCTGAAGGTGCACATTCGCGATAAGCACGATTCGAGCGCATCTAATTTAGACTGCGTCATCTGCAAGAAAACGATGCGCAACAAGAGTTGCCTACGGGTACACATGTACCACCATCGCAAGCAACAGGAGCAGCTCAACACGAATAATAAAAATAGTCAGTTAAATGACAGGTAAAAACAAAAACAAAGAATGAACAAAATCGATTTTCGATGGATTCACATCCGCGAATACACGTCCTGAACAGGTAAAGCCGTCCCAACTTTAGCCAACAAATATCTCTTTATAGTCTCTTATTTTTCTGTCATGACATTTTTGTGTTGTATTTATTTATGTTATACACTGTTTTCTAATGTTATTTGTATTGTACTTAACTTAGCGCAAAGATTTGCTGCAAATGGATAGTTCTAAGTCATTATTTAATCAGACTATCCCTAAAGGTTAGCTAGATGTTAGTTTAATTGGTATTAATGTCAAACATTTCGTTCTCTCTCTGAAGCAATATTTAAAAAAAAAAATGGTATTAGGTTAATATTACAACGAATTTTTAAGAATTTATGAACAAATATTAAGCGATTAACGTCTACGGGGATTCAAGTATCAAATATCAAATATAGTTTTAGGCTGTGGTAACAAAGCAACGAATAAAAGTGATTTTAAATGTGTAATCGTCGTGTGGCAGTATTAACAAGATGTATTTTTGTATTTATATGCGTTATGACGAGATGGATTCTTGGTAATGGTTTATTTTCTTTCTTATTTTATTATTTTTACCATCAAAGCTAAATTATATAATATATTTTCATGTTGTTTAATTTATTCGCAAGTTATCGAATGTATTTATGGTTACTTAATGAATAATTTTCAAGATGTGTACTTGTAACTTATTATTTCTGGGTGTAATTGTTATTTTTATTATTAATTAAAATATTTTCATGATATTAGTTTATGTGTTGCATGATAAACGCAAATTGAGTTCGAAAAACAAACACTGGTGTTGTTCCCCTTATCCGTATATTTATACAAACATTAACATGATGTTAATAAGAAAATTACAAGATGATTTTTGTGATCAGCCCGGCGGCGATGGTCACGCCACCAACGCGCAACATAACCCTGCCCAACTCCTTGCACTCGCTGTACAACTCGATCGCGAGTGGTCGCTGCACTTGAATTTCAATCATGGCGCTTGTATTGTTACCCAAAAACCGTGGATGTTTCTTTAGAACTTCGCCGGTTGCCTTGTTCAGCTGCGATATGAGTTTCGAGATTGTAGCCGGCTCAACTAAGGATTGATGATGCAGCACCACCTGGTGTTTACATTTACAATTATATTTTGACATAGAAAAACTCATCAGATTTACTTACCGGAAAACCTTTTGTTATTGGAATAGTCACGTTAAAGACAACAATGCGACACTGGAACTTGGACGAGACCGGAACCGGATAATGTGGATCACACAGAATATTACCAATGGTAACATGCTGCATCTCTACCCCGGCTAAAGTAATTGACGGTTGATCGCCAGCGAATACAACTTGTTGAGGCATTTCATCGGTAGTGATCATTTTCACAATGGCCACTTCGCGAATAGGACACACCATTACCTTGTCACCGACGTTCAAGGTACCAGTTTCAACTCTTCCAGCGACGCAGAAATTAGACCCGGTGCCCTGAATAACAAAAAACAAAATTTAACACTGGGTAAGTATTTAAAACGCTTAAATTTTAAGCATGGATAATATTACCTTGAAAATATCATTAATCGAAAAGCGGAAAGGCTTCGTAATCGGCCTCTCCGGGGATCTAAACCCATCAATAACTTCCAAAAGACTTGAGCCATTATACCACGACACCAGTTCGTTTTCAGTCGATTTGTCGACCAAATTCTGTCCGGTTAAACCGCTGCATGGCACGAATGTGACGTCGTTTTCTCTGAAACCCGCTTGTTTTAAGAATGCCTTGAGTTTGTCCTTGATTTCGTTGAAACGCTCCTGCGACCATGACACTGTGTCCAACTTATTGATGGCGACAGCTAATTGAGTCACACCCAGCGAGCGTACGAGCAAAGCGTGCTCTCTAGTTTGACCGCCAAACTCGAAACCGGTTTCGAACTCACCGCGGGTTGCATCCACCACTAACAGGGCGACATCAGCTTGTCCAGCGCCAGAGATCATATTCGGGATGAAATCTTTATGTCCAGGTGCGTCTAGTAAAGTAACCTTGGATACAAAAGTAGATTTTAGGTTATAAATATGTTTTTGAAGTTTAGCATTGAGGTTAGGTTGAAATTTTAGGTTAAACTCACTAATTTAGTCTTTGTTTCGAATTGTGAGCGTCCAACATCCATTGTAATTCCGCGATTTCTCTCCTCGCCAGTTTCATCCAAGACCCAAGCATACATGAAACTTTGTTTGCCTAACTTACGACTCTCTTGCTCATATTTGTGCATTGTCTTCTGTTGCACCTAAAAAATAACAAATTTCAATATCAATTGTTTTGTTATTGACAATTTCTGTGTTTATTACTTGTCCTAGCGCACATAGCATGTGTCCCATTAAGGTACTCTTGCCTGCATCGACATGACCAATCACAATCATGTATAAATGCTCCTTATGATCGCCCCTTTCCTTTTTGTACTGCACTTCCGGATCGGCGGTCTTTTCCTTTTTGCTCGGCGTGCGAATTTCCTCCAGCGGTTTCTCCCGCTCTCGTTCGCGATCCTTTTCGCCATCAGCGACTATCTGCGTCGGTGTGCCACGCCCCGAAGCAGGCGACTGCGATCTGGGCGTGTTCAGCTTGTTCGACAGGTCGAAACCTTTAATAACGCTGCGCGATTTGCTCGCCGTCGAGGGCGTCACCGCCGGCGTGATGATCTTTACGTTGGGCGTTGTGGGCGTGCTTTCACTGACTTCGATTACCAATTCATTCGTCATTTAATAAAAGTAAATAAATAAATTACGCAAATTAATTGAACCTAAAATTTAACCATAACCTTAAAATGTATAACCTATGAAAATTTACGGCAGTCATTTATTGAGTGAGATTGGGTAAAAAAATATTATTTTCTACGCAGATGCGAACTTATAATGTCATCCGGACTTGGCACGGTGAAAGCGAACCGCCGCACCCCGACGATTTTCGGTAAACTTGGCGTAAAGGGTATAAACTTGTCGTAATTTCGGCAGATAACTTTCCCTAATCGCGAAACTTTCTTCATATCGTTATGAATTTTCTTACGTTTTAAAAGTAACCTCACATCGAAGGAGCAAACCAATGCCTTTTGATTAATCTCAACTTTACTGTCATTGGTTGATAGATCGCTGCTATCAACAAACATCGGTTCAAACTCCTCCTCTTCATCATGTTTCGACGCAAGCGAGCTCGCGGATGGTTTCTTCTCACTGAGCAATGCATTTGTCAAACTGTTACACCAATCTGTTTCGTTTTGTCGACTAATACTCGGTTCAGATTTGGTTATGTTTAATTTTTCAACGCGATTTCCTAAAGTGTTAATCGAATTTTCTTTATCGATTGAAACTTTTTTCGAAAAATTCAACGCGGAACCAATCGGACGGGTTTGAAACTTTGAGGTGGTTTTTAAGTGACTGCTAGTTAATGCCGCCAGAGTGTTGAACTTATTATCAGCTAGTGGTTTTGTTACACCCAAGTCAATTTTTTTGTTCAGCCCAGAATACAATTGCTTGTTCATGCTGAATTTTGGGATAGAAAAACCACCAACTGAATTGGTCTGAGTTAAATCTTACCTTACATAAATAACAAGATGGAAAACAATTGAACAGGTTCACAATGTAACATGAAACAAAACAAAAAGAAACCAAAGAAATTAAGTTAATTTTTCGATTGCTTCAATCTTGTTGGAAAATTACCTTTCTTTTCCACATTGACAGACACAGGCAGCACCTGCTTGACTAAAATCTCCTGGATGGCTTTCTCATGGTCATAGTTATTCCTTACAGCTGCCTCAACCATCTGTTGTCGGGTGATTGATACTCCCAGTGTGTCTTTCATTGCATCAATACATGATTCTAATTTTACTTTTGCCTAAATGAAACATATTGGCGTTATAAATTAACTAAGCAAAGTGAAAACTCTGATTCTTACTAATTCATCATCCTCCTCCTCAGCAATGTCATTCTGTGATGCCATGAAGGCACCAATTCGCTGAGGATTGTCTCTATTGTACATGAATGTGGCCTGGCTGGGCGACATGCAGTAGTCCTCTTCCACTGAATGCCCGTAGACGTCGTCATAGCCATCATATTCTACAATATAGTATTTATTTTTGATAAATGGTATGTTGTTGAAGAAGTTGTGCCATGGAAAAGAAACAAAAGTTATTATTACCGTCGCTATAATTCATGGAACGTATGTTTCGATGTCGGGACATTTTGGTGTTTCGCTTTTGATTAGTTTGCTGATTTGATGGTCGAAAAGCGCGGCGTCGCGTTACATGTTGTCTCGTACGTATGTATTTATAAGATTATTATCTCTGGTCAAGCTCGGATAACTGGGAAATGGCGATGTAAAACAAGATCCACCTTGACAGACTATTATAGGCAACTTAACATACGGAAAAAAAAATTGTGAAAATACTTACAAAGTTAAATTTGTTTTATACTCAATTATAAATTAATAATATTTAAAAAGTTTATTATATATTTGATGTAGATGTAGATTTATTTAGTAGAAATTTAGTAATAATACTTTTAATCGTGGATTGGTTTATATAAAAAGTAAACTAGGCAACTTTGTGAACACACTTCCAACATTGTGTTACTTTTGAATGGTCGATACATGTTCATAACAAAGATGGATGCATTACCACTCTCATTATTCTACAACGTAATTTTACGCTGCGACCATTGAATCAAGTGCAATTACGTGGTGCAAAGTTAAACATGACCGCCTCCACTCCAAAGAAGTAATAAGTGCGCTGTGCGTTGAACGAACGTCATTCGATCGTCAGTCATCACTCGGCTTGCGTCGCGCGATGAAACCGTATCGAAACCTTCCAGAAACTCGCGAATTTCAACTGTAAAACGAATTGGTAACCACACGACAACCGCCTAGAATGTACAACCAGACTGGGTAAGCCCAATAACAATCGAATTACGGCCTCAACCAACCCACCGACGCTTGTCGATTTGAATGAAAAAACCCACGATGAAGGTGAAACTGTACGCAATCGGCTGCGTGCTGTTCCTGCTCGTCCTGCTGAACCTGGTTTCAACCGAAAAGGACATCACGAAGCAGGTACCGGCATCTTCGGCACCCTTAAACTCGACAACAGTAGCAGAAATTTTGAAACTTGACAACGCCACTGCTACAAACAGCAGTATACCAGCGGATAAGAAAAATAATTCAACTGATGACAGTATTGTTAAAGACAAAGATACTTCTACTACCTTGAAACCAGTTGCTGCAACTGGGAATAATGCAACAGATGCACCTATACCTGCACCTGTACCATCTTCAACATCAACATCAACAACTACAACCACCACAACCAGTACAACCACAACAACAACAACAACTACACCTAAACCAACAACCCCAGCTTCAAATGTAACTGTAGCCAATATTACATCAACTGCAGCTCCATTAGACCCTGTCCTACCAGACAAGGGAGCTGCTGAAGAGGAGCACAATTCATCAATGGCGATATTCTTCGTCCTGTGCGTCCTGGCGCTTGGAATACTTCTGATTCATCTTATGCTGCACACTGGTTTCCAGTATGTGCCTGAATCAATCGTTATTGTCTTCCTGGGCGCTTTGATTGGCCTTGTGATGAACGACTTATCAGACAGGAACATCTCAAACTGGCGACAAGAAGAAGCCTTTTCCCCAACAGCATTCTTCTTGATTCTTCTACCTCCGATTATTTTCGAATCCGGCTACAATCTGCACAAGGGTAACTTTTTCCAGAACATCGGATCCATTTTGGTCTTTGCCATTTTGGGCACGACCATATCCGCATTCATCATTGGATTCGGTATTTATTTTCTCGGAATAGCAGACGTGGTATACAAACTAGGATTTATCGAATCCTTTGCATTTGGATCGTTGATTTCTGCTGTGGATCCAGTTGCAACTGTGGCGATCTTCCACGCATTGAATGTTGACCCAGTGCTGAATATGTTGGTCTTTGGTGAGAGTATTCTCAACGATGCCATTGCGATTGTGTTAACCACGGCTGTATTGGAAAGTAATGATCCGGGAACATCAACTGGCGAAGCAATAATGACAGGTATCAATAGATTTTGCATGATGTTCTTTGCATCAGCTGGAATTGGTGTGCTGTTTGCTTTAATCAGTGCGCTATTATTGAAACACATTGATTTACGGAAGAATCCGTCCCTGGAGTTCGGTATGATGTTGGTCTTCACCTATGGTCCTTATGTCCTGGCTGAGGGTATACATTTATCCGGAATCATGGCGATTTTATTCTGTGGAATTGTAATGTCACACTATACACATTACAATCTTTCAACAGTTACACAGATCACCATGCAGCAGACTTTAAGAACTTTGTCGTTTATTGCCGAGACATGCGTGTTTGCTTATCTTGGACTAGCTCTGTTTAGTTTTGAGCATCGTGTTGAACCGGCCCTCATCATCTGGAGTCTTATTTTATGCCTGATTGGCCGAGCATGTAATATCTTCCCATTGGCGATACTGGTTAACAAATTCCGCGAGCATCAAATAACCAAGAAGATGATGTTTATTATGTGGTTCTCTGGTTTGAGAGGCGCGATTTCCTACGCGTTGTCGTTGCATTTGAACTTTAGTGATGAGACACGCAAGGTGATCATCACAACGACGTTGATTATTGTGCTGACTACGACGTTGCTCTTTGGCGGATCAACAATGCCGCTGTTGAAGTTTATGCAAGCGACCAAGAATCCGTCCAGGAGGTTGAGGAAGCGCAAGCGGGACAGGGAGGTAACGCTGAGTAAGACGCGTGAATGGGGCCAGGCGATTGACTCGGAGCATTTGTCGGAGACGACGGAGGGTGAGATGGATGTTTCGTTTGCTTCGTCGAGGATTAAGGGATTTGCGAAATACGATTTGAAGTATTTCATTCCTTTCTTTACGAGGCGGTTTACGCAACAGGTGAGGAATTTTGTTTTTTTTTATAACCATGCTGTCAACAACTAAAATGGCGGCTGTGTTGAATTCTATAACATTTTAATGAATTTTATTTCATGTCATTTATTTGACCTGAAATTTATGTATTTTTAATCTTTTTGTACGTAAATTAGTCCTGCTTTATTTTAATCCAGGTTTTTTTCTGATAAAACTACACCTACTGTGAAATTGCATTAACTGTTTCCTTTTATGATAACAAAATAAGCGAATGCGATAAGAATGTGTTTTTATACTGGAATATTTATTTCAAGGCCGAGCAAATCGCCACAAAATACCGTAACATTCTGCAACAATATGAACTTAACAATTCTTACATAATTGACCTAGTTTTTATCATTTCATTAAAACTTGTTTTAACGTGTGACTAATTCCACAGTGTACTCAACTTTCACGCCCAATTTTGATCGATTTTTATGTAATTCGTATTTTTGTCGGCAGGAATTGAAAGATTGTAAAAGTCAAATGACCGACTTGACCAACCAATGGTACCAGGCGATCAGGATCTCGCCGGACCAGTCGGACGAGGAGCCGGTGGTGAACACGCCACGATCGAGCATATCCAGCATCGTCCGCTGACAGCCGCCGCCTCCACAACCGCCGCCCGCGTGCATAGAGACGGAAGCGTCGCCGCTGGTCGGACGCCGCGTCTAACGGACGCAGATCTTACGCGTTTTATCTAGTTTTCTACTTGCTTTCGTCACGTGCTCACAGTGGGTGAATGTAAATACAAAATTTGTACGCGTTGGTTTTTACAAAAAGTTTAGATGTGACACACCACGTACTTTTCGATTGTTGTATTGACGCGGAGCATCAGGGGTCGAAATAATTAATTAAGTATTTAGCTAATTTAGCGAAGATTACCAAAACTACCAAAGTATTTAACTATATTTACGAATGCCACACACACAGTTGAAATGACAGGGTTTATGACTATACAACATCCAGCCAGACCATACAAAAACATAATTACAGGAGATATACTTTTTTACGCCTCGACATGATAACACGTATAAAATGAATTATTACTTTTTACTGTCTGCATATACCTATGAACGAGTATTTTTTACATTTACAAGATGTCGCCGCACAGTCAGTTTATTCACGATGTGATAAAACCTATTCTATTGTAATTATAAATCGGTGATATCGAATGGGAAGTTGCAGTCTACTGCAATTGTATTTATATTTGTGTGATAAGCCTAAGTCACTATCATTGTACTACTTTATTGTTTATAGAGGCGTGATTATATCTTAAAACGACGGAGCGATATGAGATGTGAGGTGTTTGCAATGCTTTTGCAATGGATGCAAACTATTGATTGTGATGACACGAGAGTTGTGTTAGTTATTTTATTGTTAGCAGTATTTGGCGCAAATTAGCGTATGGAATTTACTTTACGTTGAATAAAAACGATGAAAGACAAACGCATCCTTTCAATTTGTGATCTTTATGATAATTGGGTTCATTTTTAAGTTTTGTTAATTTTACTGAGTCAGGACGTTTCACCGCGAGTCGTTTCGCCGCGGAACACATTTGCCTCAAGAATAATTCAAATTTCTTGATTTTACACGTAAATAAATATATTTAGATAAATTTGTTTAATATTTAAACAATATTAAATGTGTTTGTAGATGTAATTTTAATGAATAATCAGGTATTATACGATTTTTAGCCACAAATTACTCTAACGTGGAGACTACTCACGGCGAAACGTCTGGTACCCAATTTTATAACTTTGTTTTTATTTTTAATGTAAAATTTTACGTACCAAATTGTTCTTCAAAATGCTGTATACATGGAGCAGCTGAATAGTCATCGCGCAACTTTTCCAAGAACATTGGAAGATCTTTAAACAAGTACAAATGAAGTTCTAAACAAAATAATTGCAGAATTAGCCAACTATGAAAAACTTGAAACTTTAAAATTCTTGCACATATTCTTGCAGAGGGCGCTGTTATTAGTTAGCGGCGTTTTATTTTGTAGGTTAACTTTATCGCTGTTCTCGCAGCCGTTGTTCGATCTTACAAGTGCTGGCCGTTTGTTCGTCTAAAATTATTTAATTGTCTTTTGTTAACTATTTAAATTCTATTTGTAATGGCGACGCAGTCTGCCGTTCCGGTGGTGCTGGACACCGCGGTTCGTGACTTGGTACCAACCGCTAAACTTCTTGTAGTTGGCGCCGGCGGAATCGGATGCGAAATTTTAAAGAATTTAGCACTATCCGGCTTTTCAGACATTGAAATTGTAAGCGACTCGTATTATCACTTATCTCCAATAAAACTATTACTAATAATATGACTTGTTATAGATTGATTTGGATACAATTGATGTGAGCAACTTGAACAGGCAGTTCCTCTTCAGAAAGGAGCATGTTGGAAAGTCCAAAGCAATGGTTGCCAAGGAAACCATTCTTGGGTACAACCCTAATATTCAGATTACAGCATACCATGACAGTATTACAACGTAAGTTATGATACAAATCACTTTATCAACTTTATTAAACTGGCATGTTTTTTGGTAGATCTCAGTATGGTGTCAACTTTTTCAAGCGATTCCATGTTGTTCTCAATGCGTTGGACAACCGTGCAGCGCGCAACCACGTCAATCGCATGTGTCTAGCTGCTGATGTACCACTGATTGAATCCGGTACATCCGGCTATTCCGGTCAGGTTGAATTTATCAAGAAGGGAGTGACACAGTGTTATGAGTGTCAGCCTAAACCACCTCAGAAGACATTCCCAGGCTGCACCATTAGAAATACACCATCTGAGCCTGTGCATTGCATTGTTTGGGCTAAACATTTGTTTAAGTAAGTAAATATTTAAATCACATCAACAGAACAATAAAAATAATTGATTTACAGTCAATTGTTTGGTGAAGAAGATCCCGATCAGGATGTATCACCTGATACAGCCGATCCGGAAGCAGCGGGAGATGCAGGTAAAACAGCCCTGGTTGAGGAAATGGACACAAATGCTCAGGATGGAAATGTTCAACGCACATCAACTAAACAATGGGCGGTCGACATCGATTATGATCCGGAAAAACTGTTTAATAAGTTTTTCGGAGATGATATTAAATACTTATTGAGTATGGGTAAGTTAAAATCTTTAGATTTTAGTGATTATCACAATAGTAAATGATTGATTTTTTTTTCATAGAAAATTTATGGAAATCACGAAAAGCACCACTGCCGCTTTCTTGGTCAAAAGCTCAGGCTATGATCGAAGAACCCTCCGAAAACGCCTCGAATATTCACCGTACTGACATGCAAGTTTGGTCTCTAAGCAAATGCACCGAAATCTTCGATCAGAGTATTGCTTCCCTTAAGAAAAGCCTCCAAGGCAAAAGTTTCCTTGTCTGGGACAAGGATGATAAGCCAGCTTTAGACTTTGTTACCGCCTGCGCCAACATTCGCAGTTACATCTTCTCCATTCAACAGAAGTCGCGCTTTGATGTAAAATCCATCGCTGGCAATATTATTCCTGCAATCGCGACTACCAACGCGATGGTGGCGGGTCTTGTGGTCTTGATGGCGATGCGAGTTCTAGCTAATGACTTCGACCACTGCCAGTCGATTTACGTTCGGCAAAAATCATCCGTCTCGAATACGGTACTCATGGCCGAGAGGGTCATTGAGGCTGCCAATCCAAAATGTTACGTTTGTGCACCACAGCCATTTGTCAATGTTTATGTGAATATCAATTCAATGACACTGAAAGATTTTGAGAATGAGGTCCTAAAGAAGAGTTTGAATATGATTGCACCTGATGCGCTCATAGACGGCAAGGGAATTGTGATTATTTCGTCGGATGAAGGTGAAACAGATGTAAGTTATAAAAACTAAATTTTCCTCCTGTTTTATTAAAAATTTTGTTGTTTTTAGGTCAATAACGATAAGAAATTGTCGGAACTTGGTATCTTTGACGGCAGCATCCTGAAAGTCGACGACTTTTTGCAGGATTATGAACTCACTGTTTGCGTACATGATTACGAAGCAAAAGAAAAAGACGATCCGCCGTTTAAGATTTCTAGTGATGTCGAATTGAAGACAATTGAGGAAGTAAATGATGCGAAAAATGGGGAGAACAATGGAAACGCTAATGGATCTGGTGATGCGAAAGCGCAACAAGATGGCGACGATGATGATGACATCGCCATTGTAGAGAGTGTAGTTGAGGACGACCCACAGGAAGGTCCATCGAAACGTCGTAAGATGAATCCACCCGAGGATGAAGACGACGATTTGGTACTCATTGAAGAAGACGACGATTAATTATTAACAAATCTCCATGTATTTATTTTTCTATTTCATGTAGCTTATCAAAAATGTCAAAAATGAAAACAAGATATGCTCTATCAAAAGAGTAATAATATCGTTAAAAAAACACTACTGCGTCGCACTAATAACTCAAAAACGAGACACGAAAATTATTCCAAGTCATGTTGATAATTTTTTTCTCATTATTATTTTCATAGTTCAAGCTAAAGTTGAATGTTAATTTTGATAAGTGTCTTCGATTTTTGATGGTTGACTGGAGGAGGTTGCCGGGCGCATGCGCAGTTTGCGCGATTGCACAATATGACTGCGCGCGTCACGAGCGCGGCCATCGCTCATTCTCCTCCATGTTGTGACCCAAAGTGTACTGATTTTCTTCGCCGCCCGCTCGCAAGCCGCCGCAATGTCTCTATAATTGCATAAACCCCGCACACGCAAGTGTGCTGCACAACTAATCATCAACATGGAGTAAGCATTCTTTAATTTTTACAACTTGACACGTTTTTCACTTGTTTTTGGCGGAATTAGACGCCAGCATTGCACATGCACTGCTTGAGTCAAACCTAGTTTCGCCTAGTTTCTAACTTTGGCCAGGTTGGACAGGTCATTGCCATCTGCAATGTATTCAAAATAAGCGCACATCTTGATACTTTTACACAAAATAGTAAATAATACCTGTATTTCTAGTAAAAATCAATAATTCCTGGTAATTATCTTGTGTGTTACCAATGTATTGCAACTGTACAAAAGTAGCACATCTTAGCTTTCTCTTTTTTTGCTTGTAAATTGTTGACCTCTGTGTTCTTAATACTTCAAACTGTATAAACTAATTATTAATTATTTTTCAGAGCCATCATGGCACCCCCTAAGTATGGCATTTCGCCACCAAGCCCTTACTTAAGCTACTACTTATCACCAATCATCAAATTAAGTAAAACATCATCATCTTTGCTGACATCCAGTGCTGAACAAACCGAAAATGTCTGTCCAGCACCGTGTGCCGTCGCCGTTCTCTCAGCTTCTCGCTGATGAGTCCGGTAGTCCGGAGCAGTATGATCTAGCCGACGCTTTACAATGGACGAAGGAGGATTTAGAAGCTAATCTAACTGATAAGAACAAGTCATTGCTTCTTGATGAAGTCCTCGACAACTTAGAGGCGCTTGAATCGCTTAGCGATGTGGAGATCGACCTGGAGGAAGAGGCGGGAGGTTAGTATATCATAGTATAGCGATTTATATTTATCAGTAGATAAATATTTGCATATTGGGCATTTTTTTACTGCTGATAACGCGCATAAAAATTACCATGACGCAAACGTATAAAAATATTTCTATAACAATTGTTTCAATAAGTTTTAAAAGAAATTTTAAAACACGAAGTGAAATGGCGCCTATTCGATTTATGTTTTGTTTTATAACAAACAACATGGCGAAGCTGGTTTATCCTTGATCGCCGATTGACGACTATCAGCGCGACGATATTTATTTCTAATTCCATTAAGCGGCTGGTGGGGCAGAGAGATACTTTGGAACGCGCGCTGGAATCCGACGCGTGCATTACACACTCGAGCTCAGTCACGTTCGGTCGCATTTAGACATCGCAATCGCGCTTAGCAACAAACTATCACTATCTCGTCGCGCGCGGGCTACTCATACGAATAAATACCTACAACAATACACTATTCGCGACAGTTTGATTAAACATCGCAAACTAACGTGTTTCGCGCTTGTTTTGTTTCCGTGTTCGGATTGCTCACCTGCGCGAAAGCGTTCATTCTTGAGACGTAGTTCATCCTCTTGTGTGACAGTGTTTACGCGCGCATCTCGATGCAACGTTCCCATGGTTGACAACGTTAATAGCATGCCGTTCATTTATCGCTACACCTGGAATCGGGAAATCGTTTTCAATTCACAGAAACTTGTGAAGAGACGCTGAGTCCACGCTGCGAACACGACCACGACAAGCAGATTGTTATTTTGTGCACCAAAAAACCGCCGAACACAAATCAAATTGCCATTAACTTTAAACTAGGAGTACGACTATATTAAGTTAGCGTTTTAACGATTTTCCCGCTTTCTGGGTCTGTTTGTGATAAATTTGAACGGCGGGATAGGAAGTAACATGATGGAGTACGGAAATTATGGTAGGTGTCGTTTTCTAGCTGATTGAGAAAAAGTTGATTAATTTTGAATGGACGGGTTATAAATTATTCGAAAAAAAACTTTCACTTTATTGCTTTAGAACGGTTCTGAAAGCTTGATTAACAACATTCTAATGTTACAGTTTTCATCTGTTTTTGTCATTTTAAAGTGTAGTGCTAATTAAATTTACACTATCAACAAGTAACAGTGCTTTATCGTTTTCGGAGCTTTATCATAACCTAGCAACGCTCGAAATAATTTTAGCACAAATTTAATGCAATGACGCAAAAACCTGTGTAATTTCAGCAACAACAACAAATGTTTAATAACAGGAACAATTTCATTTTGCGGTGGTTATGCTTTCTTACCGTTTGCATTCATTTCTAATCGAAAAAAGTTACGTTAAAACGTGGAATCTTTTAGTATGCGCTTCATTTGCACATTGTCTTGATTTTGTATGCCATAAATAATTCAAAATTAAGGACAAACGAAAATTTCCGACACTAATGTGTTGTTTTGCCTTCCATGTGCTTACAAGTGTGGCGCCGCCATCTTGTTGGCGAGCGAAACGAACACAAGGAAGGAATTTGTAATAATAATTACAAGGTCGCGTATGTTTTAGCTTTTGAATATTGTGCAAAACTAGTTTTTTTTAAATTTAATACACTGAACGGTGTATCTATGCTCTGTTGGTCAGACGAATTAATATATTCATGCGGCGGACGCGGATAAATTTATGACATCGATTTGTTGAGAAAGATATCGAATCTTAACCCGATTTCGATTTTTTTCTACATGTTGAAATTGAAATCGTTGCAAAACTCCCGACGATTTACGACAATTTTATGCGTTTTTACATCTGGTTTAGCTGTGATTTGAGGTTAAATGTCAAGAGGAAGCTGTATGGGCGGTATGCATTCGGACCGTGATATGCAACCAAGTGTACAAAGTCCAGCTTGCGAAATGAACACGCTTTTTGTCATTTAAAAAGTGTTTCACAGCGCGATAGATTTAGATTTGTGATAATTATTGATAAAATTACGAATATCGTGACGGTTTTGCTTGGTTATTGTTTGATTTATGCACCACTTGACGAACTATATAATTAACCCGAATATAAAAACACAATGAAGCGCAATTAAGCGATACGATAATTTTTGTAGTCTGGTCGGGTAGAAATGAATCGATTACACGAGGCGGTGGCGTTGTGCGAACGTCGTTTGCTTCCTCAGTAAACAACTTGCGTTTGTTTGCTGACCGAACAAACAAACAAACTGTTTATATTCGTCGATTGTCACTTGTTGCGCGAGCAAACAAAGGCGCTACGTCGCGAAGAACTTCCGATGTCATCGCAAAGTCCGATCGATTGATTCAACAGACAGACGTTTATTCATTACGAACACATTCGATTATTTTTTTAGCTATTTCATCGAGCATAAGTGCATTTTATAAATATCCTTTTTCTGAGATGGATATTGGATATGTATGCAACCCAATATGCATTTAATTGTACTTTGGGCTGTATGATAAGTACTGAACTGAAATTAAACGACTTTGATTAATTTCTTGCACGCGTTATACTTGTGAAAGTATATTTGCAATGTCTGCAGATAAGTTGCAGTCGTAAAATAAAAGTCAGCAAGGCCGTCTGGGATTCTAATCATAGAATCGTGTGTGCAGCTTGCAGCGCAGACACCGAGTATCGCGATAAATTGCGTATGAATTGGCGTTTTAATAAATTTCATAAATTTGCATTTCGATAAGGCCGCGTCCCGCTTAACTAATGAGATGCTAAACCAATTACACTTGCTCATAATCGGCATTAATTCAATTTTATATTCACACATTACGTTAGACATGTATCGCATAAAGCAAAATTTGTTTATCGTGGAAATTTTTCCAAAATGGTTATCACGATGGAAATCCTTGACGAATCCGAGATAAGATGAGCATTAAAATGATATTTTGCAATGGATCTCAAAATGGATCCTTATGTAACTTTGAAAAAGTTAATTTTATCGTCTGGGTTGAAGAGGTTAGCGTTTGTTGAATAATGGCCGCCCTTATTTTTTGACAGCTGCAGCAGCGAGCAGTTTGTGATAACGTGCACATTTTAATGACGTGTGATTTATGTGTAACCTAGTTTCGGCTAGAAATGTATGAAATTCTTGGATTTGCAAAAAATCTGTTGAAGTATATGCATGAAATGTGAAGTCACACATGTCTTAACCCGAATGAACTCTGCGTACATTAACATTACCCACACGATAAACAAGTGCCATAAGACGGCCGACTTGTTGAATTGAAATAATTGTTCCAATTAAGCTGCGAACATCCGCGTGCGCCAGGCATACGCATTTCGCTAACAACAATCATTGCAATTACGTTCCAGTCGCTTATTTACATAAGTTTTGTTTGAGATTTGTTTTTATTTGATATTGAGGGCGAATAAACATTTAAACATCACGAAACGCGCCACCATTTTGTAACCTCAATAGATAACTACCACTAAATCGCACGTGCCGGTTTCTAGCCAATCAACGGAATAAAACACGAAATAAAAGTGACTTTTTGTTATTTTTATAATGAGATAGCTTTGTGGAGAGTCGGTATCCGCGAGTGCACGCGACGCACGCGTGATATCGACGCGAAATCCAAGGCGCGTAACGACTAAACGGAGGTAGCGCAGCTGATATAGCCGCTACTTTGCGATAATTAAGTCGGCGAATGGCCGTGAGCTCTGATTCAATCACACAGCTAAAGTTATGTAAATGTTGGGAATCGATAGACACGTTCAACAAACTCGCTAAGGTCCAATTTTAGCTAAACAACTTGAGCTTAGCAATAAAAAATGTGTGATTCAATATATATTTTGATTTCGACAACTTTCTCTTACTCGAAAAGAGGAAACGCTTGATTTTTATTTGATTATGTGTTGATATAGGTCAACTCTTTAAATATTATCTAGATTACTTTTGAAATCACACAACACTTGTCTGTCTGTCTGTCTGTCTGTAATTTACAAAGTATAAATAGATGAGAATGATTAATTTGTTTGATCAACTGGAAAAGTTAAAGGCTGATTCGGTTGTTAACTTAAACTGAAACTATAAGTTTCGATTCCAAGTAGAAAATAATCATGCAAATGGGTTTTCCATTACTCATTGAATCTGTACTCGTGTACTTTCCGAGTAGTTGTACTAATAAAATTGTTTTTATTGTTTACAGTCGATATTTTAAACCAGCCGGTATGGATGGACTCAAAGCTCTATCCTTTGGAGAGCCAGGCGCAGTTCGGGCAGCTAACCACCATCTCTCAGCTGCCGAACGGCGCCTACGAGGTGGTGTCTAATGGGGCATTCACTCCGCCGCAAACACCACCCTATGAACACCAACAATACCAGAATGTTGCCGTTGGCTATGAAATGCCGCCCTCCGCGCCTGTCGCAACTCAACATCAAGATCTTAGCGACTACTCTGAGAACGATCTCGTCATTCCAATGGAGCTGCCCGTCTTCTCCACCTCTCAGACGGACGTTGCTCGTGAGCTGGCTGTGGTCGATGAATTGGTGCGCTGCCGTGCCAATAGCTTCGCTTCATCGTCGCCGTCTCCCTCTTCGCCCTCGTCGACATCCTGGGCGTCTTCTGCATCGAGTAGCCATAGCAGCGCTAACAGTTCATGCGGGGAATCTTCTCTGGAGGATTTTGAATGGTCGCCTGCTAATCCCCAGGTGAAGAAGACCGCACAACGCGGTCGGAAGCGTTCCAAACCATATGCGCCCGCTGATCAGATCGATAAACGGTCTCGCAAGAAGGAACAGAACAAGAACGCCGCCACTCGCTACCGTATGAAGAAGAAGGCCGAGGTCGCTGAGATACAGTCCGAGGAGAACGAGCTGGAGCAGGTGAAGATCGCGCATGAAGCGAAGATTGTCGACCTGCAGCGTGAGATCAAGCTGATGAAGGGCCTCATGTTGGAGTTCTTCAAGAAGCAAGGACTTGTTCAGTAAACAGCTAGAAAGAAATTCAAACGGATCAAACAATTGAAGTTATTTTACTTTGTAAAATGAATCTGTGGTTTAATCCGTTGAATTCATTATTGGCTTAGCTTTTAATTATCCGTCGTTCAATTTGTAACTTGTTAGGCTTAAGAATTAAAGAGTAAATGCGCATTGTTTAAACCATTGTACAACTTCATTGCACAGCGTTGTAACCTTAGATTGTAAACATTACACCAACTTTTCAAGTGTTTTCATTACTAACACCTATCTTAACATTACGTTTTCTATTACACACGTTCAGAAACAATTACTAACATGGTGCATAAAATACATTTTTTTTAGTAAATTTTAAAATTCACACAAAAAAAGTTCAAACAATATTCTAAACGCGCAAGTGATGTAATATGTTAAATTTATTTGATATATTTGCTATACTACAGTTTAATTAGAATATTTGTTGCAAACATTGTTCATTTATAATTACCTGAATTTATATCTTTCAACACACATCCCTGAAACCAGTTTCTAGTCGAATTCTTTGACTTCGTGGCCACTAAAAGATGTAGCTATTTGAAAACAGCAATTTTTAAAAAAATCTACCAGTTTTGGATGGCTATATCTTCACTTAATAGAAGCGATCAAGCAAAAAATGCGTAGATTCTATTAAAGTATACCTCTATAGATGACATTAGCTGCTGGTTGACCCTTAACATCAAACTCTGTACATATAATAGTGTTTTACATACAAATCTTTGATATTTTAAAATTTGCAAATGGCTTCCTTAGCATCAGAACTTTTGAAGAAGGTCATAAGAGCGCTTATTACCGCCAAACAAATGGTGGGCACGAAGAAATGCTGATTAATGAAAATGGCATAAATTTACATATGTAATTACGCTAATACAAAAATTTATAATTGTTTTATTTCTAAATATAAATATATTCTTCACTTAAACTTTACACCTATATATTATTTATTTTACATGCATTGATGCATATATGGTTGCCTATATTATAAAAAAAATAGGGGATTGTCATCGCTTCAACTTGAGCTCAACTCAAATTTGTTTGTCATCGCAAGTTGCAACTTGCCGCATTCGTTACTCGATTTTCTCACAAAAACTCTGAAAATGGCAATGTTAGGCCCACAAAACCGCCCCAAGTATCCCGACTACGAAACAGAAGCACCAGTTCAACGCCAATTCTATCCATACGCCGATAATGGAGGGTATGAACAACATTTATAATTTAACCTAAAAACATTCATTGCAATCAAACTCTAAATCTACTTGTTTGCTAAATAGGAGCGTTGTGGCTATCGCCGGCGATGATTTTGTCGTCATTGGTGCCGACACTCGTCTATCCACTGGCTTTGCAATCTATACTCGTGAGCAGAAGAAGATCTTCAAGCTCTCAGACAAAACTGTGCTTGGTTGTGGTGGCTGCTGGTGTGACACACTCACACTAACCAGGATTATCTCCGCGCGCATGCAGATGTACGAGCAGGAGCACAACAAGACCATGTCCACCACTGCCGCGGCGCAGATGCTGTCCACAATGATGTACTACAAGCGATTCTTCCCTTATTATGTATCCAATATGTTGGTTGGTTTGGACACTGAAGGGAAAGGCTGTGTGTACAGTTATGATCCAGTGGGGCATTGTGAGAGGGCGACGTATCGAGCGGTTGGATCCTCGGGTGCTCTCTTACAGCCGCTGTTAGATAATCAAGTTGGCAAAAAGAACATGCTAAATGCCGATAAGAATCCAATCACCTTGGAGAAAGCTACCGCTATTATTAAAGACGTATTTATTTCGGCAGCCGAAAGAGATATCTACACGGGCGATAGTATTACTATTAATATTATCACCAAGGATGGTATCAAGGAGGAGAGTTTCCCACTGAGAAAGGATTAGTTTAAGATACTTTTGGTAATGTTTTTCAACTTTTTAAACTTAATTTCCTAGACATATGCAACCCAACTTACAATAACTGAAAATGAAATAAATTTCTTCAAACAATTTACTTGATATTCGGATATAAATTGCCGAAGCTTACAAATAAAACAATTCATTTTAAGTTATCACAATTTTTCTCATATTTTCTCCTCTTGATAAACATTTACTTGGTACATTGTAAGTGCGTACACGTTAAATACAAACATTTATTAAAGGATTCTCTCGCCAGCTACATGACTGCTTCACCGGTGCGAGTTTACGATTCGAGACATATGGCAACGAAAAACCAAAACAAGAAACACGCGCGCACTTTCATCATCATCATCATCGCGGGCGAATCGCAAAATCAATTGCATCGAGTGTCGTTTTGATGTAATATGTAAATGCAAGACTCTACAAACTGAGTGGATTACAAGAGATATCATACCTTCTGTGTGGTGAGGGCGAAAGAGCGCCTATGCCGGCCATCCAGGTGGAGGCCGGCCCCTCTACTTGTTGCCCTTGCCGGGCGGCAGCTGCACCGGTTTCCCGCGATCCTTACCGCGCAATTTCAACCCGATGGCGCGCTCGATCTTCCCGAGGATTATATTATTTGGCAATCCGCGGCCCGCTTCGTAATCGGTAATAACCTGCGGCTTCTCATTGATTTTAGTCGCAAGGTCTTTCTGGGAAAGGTTCCTGGCTTGTCTTCCTTGTTGGATTAACTTGCCAATGTCTAAGGAGATGTGTTCATGGCGCAATTCCTCCGTTTCTCGGTCGAGTTTGGCCGTGTTTTTCGTGGCGACGTGTTGCTTGTTGCTGCCAGCACCCCCTGAAATTTAAATTTGCGAATAAAATTTGCCAAGATTTGAATTCGAGCAGCAAACATTTTTGCTGTGTGTCGACGGCCGCCCCGGAGCGCCGTGCGTTGTTGACCGCCTGTTCGCTTTTCATCGTGGACGCCTTGGGGGCGCGCTTCTTTAGTACTGTAACAGTATCCCAGTCGGACATTATGACACGTTCAATCACGATTTTGATTGATAAACAAACTATTTTTTGCCGTGCACGGCGAAGGGATGTGCGATTAAATGTCAAAGGTTACAATTTGACAGCTCAAAACATTTCAGTGACAGGGTGGACAATTAAGGGTAGTATCACGAAAATGGTGTAACAATCGAATTGTTAGAAGCATGTAACTATTTTGAAAGCGATCATATTTGTTGTTTTAAAAATGGGTACTACAAGTTTATCGTTGAAATATCTGATCGTTACTTAATGAAATACAGGCAACCCATTATAACCAAAGTTAAACTGGAACAAAAATTATGACAGATGTGAACCATTTTCCGGCTTAAAAGATTTTTTACTCGTCAATTTATTTTTTAACTTTTTCTTTTTTAATAATTGATTATACAATTACAATATAAATATTATCAAAAAAAAGATGGAGAAATGACGTAGACTTACTCATATTTACGTATCTTGCTTGAATGTGGTATAAACTGTGATAAAAACAACTTCATGCAAACAAACAACTGATATGTTATTTCACATCAATCCATAGGTAATGTTTATGCTGTACAGCATCACTTTTTATCACAGTTTATAATAGCCAGCTAATAATTGCAGTAAAAGAAAAATTTACTTTAAACTTTTATTTCCCAACAATTATTACAAAAGAAGATATCAGCTAGCTGAAAATAATCCATATAAAAGTTGAATGCAAAAATTGTTTCATAGAAAACACTTGTAAATTGCCAATTGCCAATAATGTGTTTAATCAAATATCCTGTTTTTCAATGCAGATCCAAGATGCAAGAGATGAGATTACCTCTTGCCTCTCAATTTGACACCCAACACCTTTTCAATCTTGCCAAGAATAACATTGTTTGGCAGCCCTCTGCCAGCCTCGTAATCAGTGATGATTTGAGGCTTCTCATTAATCTTGGTGGCCAAATCCTTCTGTGTCATCCCCTTGGCCTGTCTGCCTTGTTGAATAGTCTTGCCAACATCAAATGAGATTTCCTCATGGCGCAATTCCTCAGTTTCGCGGTCGAGTTTGGCAGTGTTTTTGGTCGTTACGTGTTGCTTGTTGCTGGCTGCGCCCCCTAATAAAGAACAAATCGTTTAGTGTTGATGAGACTGACTCGTGATTCGTGGAATGTTATTGTGTACATTTTTGCGATGTGTCGACGGCAGCTCCAGTCCGGCGTGCCTGATTGACGGCCTGCTCGCTCTTGAGCGATGAGCCTTTTACTGGACGCTTCTTAAGAACTGTCACCGAATCCCAGCTGGTAGACATGATCGATGCTTATCAATGACCTATCGCACGTTATAAACAGTAGTGTAATTTTTGCGTAGTATTGCGTGGTTTCTGCTGTTTCCTCGTGTGGGAACCGCAAGCGAACTGATATCAGCGGTGTGTGACAGATTGACGATTTAGGAAATGGTTTGTTTTACAATTTGCGCATGCGCAGTACTAATGGCGTAAAATTTTATCAATTTGTGCAATATTGCATACAAAACTTTGAAGAGTTTGATGTGATTGTCATTTTGACAACTAAAATTTATTGTTTTGTGTATTTAATTTTGCTTCTAGTGCTACTTGATTACACGCTAAAAATATGGTTTGTGTATGTTGGGTTGCGTGCTGTTGAATTTTTCAGGCGCGTGGATGAAAAAGCAAAGTCTAGAAATTTCAATTGAAATGATTGAAATAATTGAAATTTATGCAGATTGAGCATGAAATTGACTGCGGTGACATAGCATATTACACACATATTCTATTCTGCAGCTTGTATAAGCATATAACAAGCGGCGAAGAGTTAAAATTGTTTAAATTGAGTAGGAAATTGTCATGAATATTACCTACATTTTATAAATTCTTAAATAAATTCTAAAAAAGTCCTACTTTCTTATTATCAAATATAAGCTTATTATTCAACAAACCAGAAACTAAAGAAAAAACGAAAGTTGCACGTTAATTATCAATCTTAACGCAATTAAAACAATTGTTTAGATAAAAGAAAGTCGGAAGATTTCATCTGAGCAAGCGGAAGGAAAAGAAAATGATGTTAATCAAAGTGTTACGTGTGGTTACATTTTATTAAGTTGATAATTAGTTCCTTTTCTTTCATTTTTCATGATTTATTACTTCATTTGATCTAGTTTTGTTTTTAAACGTCTTGTATGAATTAAAAAGACATTTTTCACTGCTTATTAAAAGCAAAATTACGAAATTTACTTTCTAGGCAAGGTAAAAGTGTCAAAAACACGCAAATTAACTTCGTAATTTTTTAGTTTCTTTTAAATTTACATGACTTATATGACATGTCTTTTTTTCTATTTTATCTGAGTAATGAGGATAAACTTCGGGTTAACGCGACAATGCAAGATAAGCGTGATGCGCTCTCTTGATCTTAATAGATTCCATCGTTTCATTGTTTCATTCCATGCCGCACACAATCGCCCATCTTCTTCTGCACTTCTTTCGTGCGGTGTTCTCTTCCTCGTTGCCTGAAATTGCTTCAAACTCGGCGTGTCGCGCGCTTACGAACCACCTAATTCACTCACCACACTCATCGTCCACGAACTTCATTGGACGTTTCTCATATTCGCTCATTCGACGTGGTTTGCGCCGCTGAAAGCGCACCAAGAGACTTCAAATAACTTTCAACGTTTGCTTCGCGCACATCTAATCCGACCGAAAACAAAAACTGCCTTCAGTGTGTGGCACAATTTAATCACTTTAAAGAAGCCGAATTTATTAATATTAATAAGTGCGTCCTATTTGAAGTTTTGATAAAAATAGTTTCAATTGCGCGCTCGCTCATCATAGTGATTATCGAATTAAAGCGGTTTTTATCAGCGTCTCCGCTTTTGTGCTTTTGTATGCAATTATTTCAATTATTGCGAGCACGACAACGTCCGAGTGATTAATCAACGAGCGCCGAACGGCGCGCGCTTTAATTGAAGACGTTTCGGGATTCAGGCTCTTGAAGCAAGTGAAAACAGAAGAACAATCGACAAACTACAAAACAACCAGTTTAAATAACTTCAATTATAGTTTTCAAGTTTACCAGTGAGCAAAATGGAAAAACTCATTTTCACGACGTTATTCTTCGGTGAGTATTAATTTTCAACTACAAAAAAGAATCCATTTACTTATTTACATTGCACAAATGTGTAAATATCCATTTGCAATATTAAATCACACCGGCAATGTTTCAATGCGTAATAAATCGCGAGTAAACTTCACATTTACACGCGAACATGACTATCATGGTCCTACCCCATCCGGTGATGATAAACGCACATTGCCCGAGACGTCCAGGGGTTGATTGCGAATGTGGAGGGTGGACGCGCCCATCGCGATTACCGGTGCCTGTCCGAGCTGGTCGCATCCGTGTGTTTCACGTGTGCGCCGTCATAAAACACCCTCGAAGTGCGCAATTTATGTGCACGGAAAAGCCTGGCCTTTCCCATGATACGCGTTTAGTCTTAAAAGCTTCGCAACGCGCTGAAACAACGAGTAAACACCCCGAACAACGGAAAACAAACACATGCCGGACGTTCGCTAAGGGATAATCACCGATAAGCATTACTAATCTGGCTAATGCGTTCATTTTTACTTCACGCACGTTCAATTATCACTTTTTGGTTATTTTAACGCGGTATGCAACACAAAATACACGAGCGTTAAAGTGAGGTTGCCGTTTATTTTAGAACGATGTTTGTTTTTGTTTGAACATCATTTAATGTGTTTGATTATACTAAAGTCACGATAAATTATTTGGTTAGAAAACGAAATAAATTTAAGTTAATATAAACCATAAAGTGTGTGTCACGTTCGAGTGTTTGTGAAAACTCTTACGCTCTATAGTCTATAGTCTTAACAAATTGCTTGCGTTGTTTTGATCTGTAATACATTTTAATTAAGATTATTACGAGAATATACTGGCGTCATGGTAGAATAGTTCGAACCACGCGTGCTTGCCGCACATCGATCGATTTTAATTGCCCTCAATGCCCTTTTCTTAATCAGTTTAAATTGAATTTGTGTAACTTACACAACCCACGCCCTACATAATATTACCGCACTTAAAAATAGTATTTATGCGTAGTAAAAGTGCATATTTTGTTAAAATTTCTTATTTTTTTAAAGGTTTATTCATTTCATCGACGTCTTCAGTAAAAATCCGTACCTTTTACGTACCGGGTAAAGCAGGAAATGAAGCACCTCTCCTATGTACCTACGACCTCGAGTCAGACACCCTCTATGATGTCAAGTGGTACAAAGATGGCGAGCAGTTCTTCCGGTGCGAGCCAAATGGAGTGACAACGGCGTTCGATGTCGATGGCGTCAAAGTGCAACACATCAAATTTGCACCGCTCGGTTCCTGTTCGTTAACGTTGATGCTGCTAACGCAGAAAACCGCCGGTGAATATAAATGTGAAGTAAATACGGAGGGTCCGAAGTTCGACACAGCCAGCGAAACGAAAAAACTGATGATTATTGAACCTTCGCGCAAACGCACACATGGTACGCACAACACTAGCGCCACCGCAACTATCAGTAAGTAGAAATGCAAATGGCCGCTGATGTGGTTTAACAGTTGCATCTGTTTCAGCTAATAACTCAGTAGTGCAATATCACCAAACTCGTGAGAATGAAATCTCGTACGACGCGGCATCGCATTTACGTTTTGATGTTTTACTTTACGCGTTTTGTTTGTTTGCACTTTATACACATTAAAATACACTAAATTTAAACATGTCAAAATTGAAAAAAAAAGCATATTTAAGTTAACTGTAAATATCTCTCGATACTAACCGTAAGTCTAAAAATTATTTAATGAGTACGTTGTTTTATACAAAATTTACAGCAGTAAATGATAATAGAATCGAATATAATTAGACTACTTATGCACTGTTTAAATTACTCATCTATATTTTCGGGCAGAATTTTCAGCCAGGCTTCCTCGTCCCCACCATTGTGTGTCGGTATTCGCACAGCGAGAAGTTGGACAGGACCTTCTTTCGTTTGAATGATTTGCGTCTGCGCACTAGCGATGGCTTCCGGTGTAAGTATAGCTTCAAAGTCATCATTGGTTGTTAATAATGTTTCCTCCTCTTCTTCTTCCTCCTCCTCCTCTTCCATATCTTCATCATCTTCACCCTTTAGTCGAAATCGCTGTAAAATATTTTTTTGTTACGTGAGGTTAATTTTATAGGTTAGGTTAGGGAATGTTACCTGTCCGTCAATGATAATTGTCTCATCGTCGTCATCCTGGCTAAGAATTAGATGTCCCTCGGTGTCCTTTAATTCTTCCTCATCATCGCCAACCATCATATGTTCAGCAATGTACAACTTTTCCGTTTCTGTCGAATTTTCCTGCATCTCTTCCAGGTCGACCTGCGTGCGTGACACTTTCCTCTGCGTGATCTCCAACTGGCCATCTACAAGCGTGTAATAAGACTCTTCATCTTCGGGCAAACGCGGTTGATTAACTACAATTGTGTCATTCAAATGATTCTCCGATTGCATGTGTTGATATAAGAGGGGTTTGCGCATGAATCCTGCACCGCAATCTAAACATTCATAAGGCTTTTTATCCGAGTGAACAAAGCGATGCGCATTGCGATTATCGCGACTGTTGAACGCCTTGCCGCACACTTCGCAGCGGTAGGGCTTCTCGCCGGTGTGAATACGACGATGCTTCTTGAAATGCTCCGGATAGACAAACGTTGCGCCACATACGCTGCATTTAAAGGGGCGTTCGCCCGTATGTGCCGACTTTATATGATAGTCCAATAAGCGGCGTCGCTTAAACGCTTTCCCGCAATCCACGCATTTGTATCGCTTGTCGTCATAGTGCGTTGCGCGCTTATGAGACTGTAGGTTGGAGCGTTGGCTGAAGGTGGCGCCACAGAACTCGCACTGATACGGTCGCTCACCTGTATGCGTACGTTCATGATCGCGAATTTCCGCTTTCCTCGCGAATGATTTCCCACACTGACCGCAAACGAACGGCCGATAACTCGTGTGGATTATCGAGTGAACTTCCAAGTTGTGTGCGGAGCCAAACTTTTATCTTATTAAACAAACAAGAAATATTCATGACATTTACATTAAAACGCCAAAATTGTATACGCACCACACAAGTGACAAGTGTGGTCCTTGATCCCGGCATGTGTCTTCTCATGCTGCGTCAAATTGTGAATATTCAGGAATGTTTTCGGACAGCTTGAACAACTGTGTGGACGTGGTCTTGATTCATGCGTCTTCTCATGCGCACGGAACGTATACTTGGATGCAAAATCCTTCCCACAAACGCCGCATTGATACGGTCTATAACCAGTGTGCGTGTTCATGTGTTCCTCCAGCAAATTCTTCGAGCTGTATTTCTTTCCACAACGATCGCATGCCCAGCTTTTATTCTGTGGCTGGTGCATCCGTCTATGAATCCGAAACAAGCGCAAGTTGCTAAAGATGCGATTGCAGACTTCGCATTGAAAGTCGCCCTCTTCATTCGCGACATGGTCGTCCATATGCGATGATAATTCAGTGCGTTTGCGGAAATAATCGCCGCAAAAGTCGCAGATGTACAGGCGTTGGTCGTGCGCCTCTTTGATATGCGTCATGATGGCTTTTGCTTCCCCGCAGACTGTTACATCACCCTCACACAGCATACACGTGTACAGGTTTTGATTTCTTGTTACCATCTAGAAATAAATGAAACAGGCATGAAATAGTTTTAGGTGCAGATAGTTATAAACTTACGTTATCAGCGGACAACTCATCTTTTAATTCACGTTGTAGTTTAAATTTATCTTCTTTTTCTTGCCCGCTTTTTATATAGTTAATAGTCCGCCTTAGAACTTTTGTCTTGTCGTCTTCCAGAGCTTCAATTTTAATAAATTGACTTTCCTGTAACTGTTCGCTATCATCGATTAGCGTCTCGTCTAACTTGTTATCGCTATCTTCATTTGATTTTTGTATATCTTCCAAAGTGATATCATCAGCAGGGCCATGAATCTTGACTAGTTCCTCTTCAATCTCTTCAATTGTTTTCAATTTCTTCTCTTCATTTATAGGCATGCCTTGAGCAATCATTTGAATTTCTTCTTCTTCCTCATCTGAAGAAGGTATATCTAGTATCTTCTTGGGGCCAATGTACCCATCAGAAGTAATATTTACTGAGTTCACATCTTCTTCACACAATGTGATTGTAGTGTTCATGGGTTTGAATCTATTCATTAATTGCAACCTCTGTGCATTCAGCTTATTTTCCATTTCATGCACTTGTTTAAATGAATTGTAGCAGATTTGGCACAGAGTATCACAGTGCAATACAGTACCATTGCTGTGCTGTTCCAGAATTTGTGAAATAATTGAGTCAATTAAACCTTTCTCAGATGTTTTTACATTTTCATCAGATAGGGATATGTAATGCTCATCAGTGATTACTTCATTGCATATGAGGCATTGTACATCAGACTGTACCTCATCCATCAACTCCATTTTCATCAATCTAAAACATAATAAATAACGGGTATAAATATTAAATTAGCCAATCAATTAATATAATTTATTATTATTTCTATAAATTCTTTAAAATTTGCATGTGAAGTTTCGAAATAAAAATGTTTGGATTTGAGTTGGATGAGCAATGTAAGGTAAGTAATGATAACAGAAATAAATCAACACCCATCGTCACGAATTCGTGCGCCATTCAATGGCTGGTCGACGCGTCTTGTCTACAGTCGCCTCCATTCCGTTCGGTTATGTATGCATAAATCTGTGTGTCTCCTCTGCATTCTTTCAAAAGTGTGTGCCGTCATTTTTGCGCCGGTTCTTACCTTTTTGAATCTTATGGTGCATTTATTAGGGATACCCGATTATGTTGGTAAAAAAACAGGGCTGACATACAACAAATGCTGCCAAGCTAGCAGAATGACTCGACATGGCACTCCATGCCACTAAACGCACCAACACGAAACTGGTGGGCGCTGCCGACTGCGGCAAATTGTCGCAGTACCGTCCGAACGCAATGAGTGCGTACGGTGTAAACCGGGGAGCAAACGGTGCAAACCTACAAATCTGTTCTAGTGTAACTAGTCCATCTATCGGGCAACGTAGTAACTAAATGATTTGGAAGAGTACTGCTTTGTGTAATATCAAACAGAAACAATTTGTATTCTATTCTTGTTTGTTTATTTATTAATTTATTATTTTAACTTTTTATTTAACTATTTCCTTTGTGTTATAGATATAATTTTGGCACACGAACAACATTTAGTTGTTTTATAGTTAACTATTCCACTAATACATGGCCAATATTGATGGTATAAAGTGACATGCATGTCATTGTAAATAGTCAACAATACTGAAGTTTACAAGTTTATCATCTGTTGTGTAAAAAGGACTTCTTCTAATGTTTTCTCAACAAAATACGTCATTTTAAACATTGAGAGAATACAAAACAGGTCTGCACGATGCAAACGCCTGCGGACGCAGCGCGTTCGCGCGAAAACAATAAGATGATGAATACCAGGGAGAAAGAAGACTATATTGAGAACTGTATGTTCCCATTCTGTGATGAAAGTGGCAAATATGAAAAGGTTGCTAAAATAGGACAAGGAACTTTTGGGTATGATTTCATTATGAGTACAGATGCCTTAATTTTTCACACACATACCTTTTGCTAAGATATCTTGATTGGCTGTGATGACAAAAATTTTTTGGGTTATATTTCTTCATTCTGTAAGATATAAGATTGTGCAATATTGTTGAAGTTACAAGTTTTTGATTCAAGCTTTTCTTTTCTATGTTTACAAAACAATTGAATGTGACTGAATTTTTTTATTTTGCTCTAGGGAAGTATTCAAAGCCAGAGATAAAAGTAATCCAAACAAATATGTAGCAATGAAAAAGGTTCTAATGGAAAATGAGAAAGAAGGTGTAAGTAAATGCACAATGAATATGCCCAAGTTACAAAACATCAAACTGTCATCTCCTGTTCCAGTTTCCAATCACAGCTTTAAGAGAAATTCGAATATTACAACTTCTGAAGCATGAGAATGTAGTAAATTTAATCGAAATCTGTCGAACGAAAGCAACTCAGTTTAACAAATATCGCTCGACGTTCTACCTGGTTTTCGACTTCTGTGAACACGATTTAGCTGGACTACTTTCGAACGTAAACGTGAAATTCAGCCTGGGTGAAATCAAAAAAGTCATGCAGCAGTTACTCAATGGACTATACTACATTCACAGCAACAAAATTTTGCATCGTGATATGAAAGCCGCCAATGTGCTCATCACGAAAAACGGAATCCTCAAATTGGCTGATTTTGGATTGGCGCGTGCATTCAGCGCTAACAAAAACGGTGAACCTAATCGTTTCACGAACCGCGTGGTAACGCTATGGTATCGCCCACCAGAACTGCTGCTTGGTGAGCGCAACTACGGCCCACCGGTTGACTTATGGGGTGCGGGTTGTATCATGGCCGAGATGTGGACACGATCGCCCATTATGCAGGGCAACAGTGAGCAGCAGCAGTTGATCTTCATCTCACAGTTATGCGGGTCGATCACGCCAACTGTATGGCCCGGCGTTGAAAACCTCGACTTGTACAAGACGATGGAGTTGCCACAGCTGCAAAAGCGCAAGGTGAAAGAACGCTTAAGGCCGTACATGAAAGATCCGTACGCGTGCGATTTGCTCGACCGTTTACTGGTGCTGGACCCAAGTAAACGCGCTGATTCCGACTCGGCGCTCAATCACGACTTCTTCTGGACTGATCCGATGCCATGCAGTCTTAGTAACATGCTGGCCAATCACCACCAGAGTATGTTCGAGTTCCTAGCGCCGCCGCGGCGCGCCACACACATGCGCACGCATCATTCACTGCCCGGTGCGCGGCCACCAGCTTCATCCGTGCAGGATAGCAGTAGTTATCAGGATCGAGTGTTTTAAATTTGACCAAGGTAGCATTTCTCCCATTAAAAAATTTACTTTTTTATGAACATATTAAGATAAATATATGTAAGTTATAAAAACATTAAATATGGTATTAATTTCAATCACATTTGTAGTTCGTCAAGGGCGTCAATGAAATCTTCAATGATGAGCTCCATTAAAGTCGGGAATGTCTAGGAGAAAAAATTAAATTAGAAAACATATTTTGTTTAAAGCGTCTCCCAACATAAAACATATATGAACAAACATTAGGCATTTATGTTAAGTTATGTTAAGCAAGTGCTATTTACCAGAAAGTACAGTAAAAGAAAGCAGTAAAACTAACACTTAAAGATGTTAACCTGAATGCGTGTTAACAAGGGATCGATGTGGACAAATTGCTGCAAATGCCTCATCATCCACTCAAACACATGATGATGCCTGCTTGGTGCTTGGTCAGGCATTTCGGTGTACTGATCCTTAAATATTTCAATTCCTGAAAATGATTGATGGAAAACATTGCTATCGACTACAAACATAAATGAGACACTGACTGGGCCAACACAGTATACCTCGCCGTGGATGGATAATACGAAATCTGCGCTCGACTAGGCAAGGTGGTGCATTGATCACATCAGCTACATTTTCCCTCATGTATGGTTCCCCTTGCAACATAAATCGATCTTCGGTCTCTTGCAGATCAATCTGTTTTCTTGCTGAGTTTGCTATGAAATTTATAACTAATTGTTAGTCATTGTTACAGTAAATGATGAACTAGCTGCCACCTTAGTTGGCGATACGTTTTGGTATCAAAATAACAATCACCTTTTGATTTCTTGAGCTGCTGCTTCTTCTTTTGTCGATTTAGCCTTTTCCTCTTGCTCTTTGGTACGATGACACGAGCTGGTGTTGTGTCTTCATCGGGTTCCTTCTCACTCTCGGATGCATCACTATTTGAAGTCGGTACGAGACGAGAAAAACTGTTACCACCTGCTCATAAATATACACTGTCAAAAAAAATAATATACTTTTTATTCACATACTTACCGGCAAGTATTTCTGGATTATCAACAATATGCTTTCTTTTCTTAGTTTTCTTTGGTTTTTTAAACACACTCTCCGTTAGTTTTGACGCTGCGTTGTCAGTAATTCTGAGATTTTTAATGGAATGCATTATGTTATTTGCGTCTGTACCTAAATTTAAAAAAATATCGTCGAACGCGTTCGATATTCACGTAACTTACACTTACTACTTTCTTTGGTTACACATATCTTTGGTTTCTTCGGGTTAATTACTTGTTGCGTTTTTAGGAACTTATTGATATTTGCAATATGTTCAGGTGACCACTGCTGATGCAGTGGCGAAGTGCAATTCTCTTTCTGCAATAAACCATTCCCATTATGTTGTAGATGATGATGAGGAATTTTTGAAACAGGGTTTTGTTGTGGTTGAGTCTTATTACAGAATGGGAAATTAATAAGTGTCAATGGAAATTCCTGTGTTATAGCTGAGTTAATTTGTTTGGTATTTGTTTGTTTTGGTTGTTTTACCTCTGAAAATTGCAATTTTAAATATTAATCAGTATGACCTTGTTTGTTTCTATGATAAATAGTTCACAAAGGATATTAATCTAATCATATTAAATATAGGCTTATTAAGCAGATATTGAAAGTAAATATAGAAATGCTAATATATGCTTTGATATCTAAACATGCATTGAATTTAAAAATACTAAAGAAATCACCTTGCTTTTTACTCTTCTTAGTTTTTTCTTTTAATGGTTTAACTGCTGCCATCTTGAAATGTTGACCATTTGTAGAAGCTTTAAATTCAAGTAAAAACTAGTTATCTGAAGTTATTTAAAGCCACAAGCAAAAATTACCTAGTTCTTTACACATTTCTTCTTGTTTAGCATTATACTGTCTCAACTTGCAGGTAGCAACATCTTCAGATAACTTATATGGAGGTGGTTTATTTCTTTCCAAAATTTCAACAGTTATTTTACTCTCATTGATATCACTGTCTTCATCTGCACTCATCCAGGAATTCACTCCATGATTCCTACATAGTAGTTTAAATTCATCTGGTGGTAGGGCAGCTAACAGCTAAAAGATCAATGACCAAAGTTTTGAATAACATAACAATAGATAGGTGTAGTAGTACACTTACCTGGTTAAATGGATCCATGTTTGCCCAAATTCAAATGATCTTTACTGTACAGACTCCGAATTAATAAAATCGGTGATTCACCGCCTTCACATCACAACACCGCAGCGCACACTGCAGTGTCAGAAACGCTAACGATGCAAACATACAAACGATGCAAAACGAAGCTCGGCCACGCGGTGTTCGTGAATGTACTCTGACCTTGGGAAACTATTGTAACTTGATTTGGTGCGCTTATCCATTTTATATAGAAATTTATCTACTAATGCAAATGTTCATAAAACAAAGGAACAAAATTGAAATATTTCAATATTTCTGAGAATCAATTTAAATTTAATTGCATATTTTTAATTAGCATAATATTCAGATAATGTGATATACGTAAATAAATTAGTTTAAATAAAAATTAAGGATGAAAAAGAATTGCAGATGAAATATAATTTTTAACTCTTTATATGCGATAACCGTAGACTTCTTAGTTCTAATTCTCCAATTAATTAATTTCGCTTATTTACATCGTTTTCATATATTTTGGTATTTACTGATAATAAGACAATGCATGTGATTTAATTTTATTTTTAAGTTCAGATAAAATAGTCATATAACGTGTGAATATGTTTTATCCATTTGTGGCTCATTTGTGTTCGTTCGATATAATATAGTTGGTATATAGACGCCTCATTGATTTTTTTGTTTTGAGCTCTAATAAGGGTATATTTGAATATGTCATTGCTTTACATTAATTAAAATACCACATTTTTGAAATACAGGTGACTCAGTCACGCAATAAAAAATATGAACGCGAGTGAAATCGCGGGGAAAACCAAGTATTTATTTATACATTTGTAAGTACTACTCATAGACTATATGTTTAAATAGTTGTTACGTGGATAAATGTATAGCTGAATCTCATTTGCCCATTTTTCTTTATAAATAAAATTTAAAATTTTACCTCTTAGATTTCCAATGTAATACCTATTAGTTTATTTGATAGATAATTGTCCGTAGATTAAGACTCTGCGATTCGTTCCTTTCTATCTCTTTTAGTTTACGAGATATTCGCAATTGAATTAATTCGTCAAAAATTGAAAAATATTATTTTTAGCACTTTCATTCATGGTTTTTGACTTTTTATCCCATTATTTTAAATTATTTTAAATTTATATCTAATAGAGAATTATCCAATCTTCCATTTTTAATCATTATAATGCGTCCTAGACTCATGACAATGTGTTAAATTTGTGTAAACGTTGATCATAGAAGGAAATATCCCTTTGCCTGGAAAACGCACTATACATCTTGTACCAATAGAGCAAATCGCAACATCTTGTGCCCATATGATACTTAAGAGTTCCTTAATAACTTACGCATCTGCCCGACCCGTGCAACCTTCTTCTATTGTCCAAAAAATGGCTTACAAATCGACATTATTTTCACACTACAAAAAGTTGGCTTTGATAACAGCCTGTATCTCGTGAACTAATACACATTTTGGGCATTTCTAAAAGCCATGTTATAGTTTAAGAGACGCTCTACATGTTAATTGACAATATGTACTGCATACAAAAGTGGCAACACGTGGAAACATTAATTATTGATTATAATTGTTTAAATTGTGGAACTAGTATCTGTCGCATTCATAGATGGCGCTAGGATGCACTAAAAATCATAAAATCGAGTTATACGGCTTATTTGGATATTTATCGACAAGCGTGGGCACGAGAGTAGTTTTGTATACTGTTATCTGCGATTCGGTGTAATGCGGATTTCGGTGTTGTCCCGCACGTTGTCGCCTAGCGCCGCATCAACTAGCAGCATGCAGCGAAGTCTAGTGTATCTTTGATCATAGGCAATGTGCCTATTGCAAATTCGCGCACAAGGTCGCGTGCCTTCGACGCGCCGTCTTTGCACACCTCTTGCCTTCTTATCGTATACTCTCCCGTCGTTGTTTACGCAGTTTCGGCATGCACTATCGGTGGATTGCAGCCAGTTTCGTGCCGGTCGCTGGTAAATCCAGTTGTGTTTTGAGACACTTACGAGTACATCGTTTATTCGGACTTCAATATTCTAAATTTGTGTTATACTCGAAGATCAATCGACTATTTATTTGTACTTTGCGATTATAGTAATTTGTTTAATGTTCGGAAATGCCGGTTTTTGGATCGCATTTGTTATGCATATTACAAGTCACGTGATAGTGGATTTGATAACATTCTTCACCCGGCGTTGTGTTTGGTGTCGGTTACTAAATTAATCGGATATATATCGCCCCCATGTTGATTCTCATCATTAAGAAAGATCCATCAGGCTCGTGTAAGTATATACTAAACACGACAAATTGTTTATTTTGTGTTGATTGTTAATTATCACATAATTAAATTGTATGAAATATTTTTGTTTTAATTTATGTTTTCGTTTTAGTTACAGCTCTCGTTGTGCCTGGTAGTCCAATAAGCTGTACACTGGCAAGTTTATAATTCAATTATATTTTTCGGTCAAATTTACATTTGCTGTTTATAAACAAGTTTTCTATTTATCACGTACTATCTGCTGGGCCGATGCGTGGGGGGGTCAACTGGGGTAAATTCCCCGGGGCCCGGCTGATCGCTCTTAAATTGCAAAAAAAAAATTTCCAAAGATGATGCAAATTTATTTTATTTTGCTTTTATATTGTCATCACATGTACAATTATTCAATTTTTGGTTACTTAATGCAACTTTTGCAACAGAATTAAGATGTGGTAAACCACAACTGGTGAATGCTTTCTTTCTATAATTGCTTTTTATATTTTCAAGTTCTACGTTTAAATCTTTTATTTGCTTCTGCAACGAACAATATTTCTCATTCAAGGATACAAGTTCGTCGGCAAGATTAACGTGAACACCGTCAATGTTTTCAGTACGTTCGCGCACTTGGCTAGCAATTTCAATATTAGCACCTGCATAATTTAATTTCTCAATTAGCTCTTCACCTCGCTTTTCTTCATCAGCTATCTCTTTCATTATATTCTCAACTTGACTGTTCAACTCATCAGCTTGACTTTTCTCGTCTTTGATTTGTTGCAATAATAAACATTTTGAAGTTTCAAGTCGTTGTAGTAAATCATTTATAAGTTCTCCATTTAGCACCAATTTACTTTTCTTGCTTTTTAGCATATCACTAATTAATTGTTTGGTTTTTAATAACGCGCTTTCTTGTGATCTCAGATTACTAATATTTGATTGCAGTTTATTTATTTCTTTGACATGTGCTTTAATAATATCCATATAAAGAAGATCATTAGCTTGGATAGCAATAAATTCGAGAGCAGGTAAATTAGGCAACTGCAATCGACATTGCATACAATTTTCTGAATTCGATGTATCTGGCAAATCGATTAATTTAGTTACATCCAGATTAGGTTTTGTCTCACTAAATTGTATCATTAGATATGTGATGCAAGGAAGCAATGAACTTTCTACACTGTTAACTGTATATTCGGTGGAACATTTTTCTTCTTCGAGGCATTTGATGTGTTGACATAATTGGTTTATTGTTGTTTGCCAGAATAAATCTTGTTTTTGTAACTGTTCAGTATAATATAATTCAGGCATCGGCACGGCTGTTCTGTGAGTTTCATATATTTTATGATCAGTACAAGGGCATGTTTCATTTTCACTAAGAATTGGGCAATTTGTGTCAGTAGTACTTGCGTTTGAAGATGGCAGACTATTGCTTGGGCAATAACAAAATACTTCACTAGACATTTTGATGATTTTCAAATTCAAATTTACAAGTGACAAATTGACTTGTTGAGCGACTGTGGCTCCAACCGTATTTTTTAAAAACTATAACGAGGGAGATACATGAAGATCAGGGGCGTAGCTACCGCCGTATTTGCCGTATCAATTATACGGGGCCCCCGGGCCACGGGGGCCCCCAAAGTGTGTAAGGAAAAACCTTTACCTCCATATAAGGGCCTCCAAAAAATTTTTTATACGGGGCCCCGACAAGGCACGCTACGCCACTGATGAAGATGTTTATTACCTCAACTACACAAAGTTGAACTTTGAAATTTGGAGAAATGATGCATCTGGTCATAAACTAGTGTTGAATTTATTTTTGATGAGGTTGATGGTTTTTGAATAAAATGTACGTCTGTTTTCATTAAAACTGGAATATCTATGAAAATATAAAATTGACTAGTTTTTGTCCGCGACTTCGTCCCGGTAGTGTTTAATAAAAATTGAATTCATTTTTACTCTCTTGTTATAGACATAGTATGTGTCAATTCTATCAATAAGATTCGCAATTTTATTTTAAAGAAATTAATTATATAAAGAATTGCTAATAATGCACTTCAGCGCGGATTCAATTATTTAACTATAACTATGATTGAATCTCAATGCAAACCTTTATCCTATAGAAAAGGGCGTCTTTAGGGTTTTCCCGGCATTTATTCAAAAATTTCTTGCTATAAAAACCATCCTTGGACTTTACCGAATATTTAAAAAACAAGAATTGGCCAAATTGGTCTAGGCGGTCTTGAGTTATGCGCTTACTAACAGATTTTGCGATTTATTTTTATATTATAGAGAAAATATAATACTATATTAAGTATCAAGTAACTAAACATGAGTTATATTCACGTTATTAATTGAGAGTTTGAGAGCGTGGTTTATTAAGAACCCCAAAATAAAACAAAATAAATATCTGCTGTAAAAATTTTAATCCTTTAATAAAATAATGTGGTAAATATTAATGTTTAAGAAGTTAATGCAATCGCCTCCGGATAACATCTGCCCTCCTTGGTGCTAGCAAACAGATTTATCTGTATATCCACCAAAGTGGCATCAATTGAAACCACGGCGTGTTCCTTATCTCCAGAAGTCACATAAACCAGGTTTCCATTCAAATAAATCTCATACGCAGTCACCTCAGGGCTGGCAGCTCGAATCCACTTCACCAGACAAGTAGTCGGCGTTAGTTTTGCAATTTGATAATTTTCAGTGGTTCCGAAGACTCATTGCAGAAACAATCATTCGCAGCGCTACCCGCAGTATCACATCCGCAGCTATTCAATGCAGCATGTTCCTGCTCCAACAGTTGTATACTGTAATCTGGTGCATCAGTATCACATAGAGCAATTTCCTGTACCATTGTCTCGAATATACCAGCATTAGATTGCTTGGCTAATTCGTTAGTCATCATTGCAAGTATGCCATCTTTTTCTGTACACTTTTCCTGCGTTGTTTGAATGGCAAGTTCAAGCAATGACTTTGTTGGCGCAAGTTTCTTAGAGAAATGTTGTGGTTGTATTTCCAAATTATCTACGCATGGACATTTGGGAATAGTTGAGGTCTGCGGCAATGGTTTGTCAAAGTCTTCAGACTTTTTATGAAAAGTGCATTTTTGATCGCTTGTTTTCCGCTTGCAAAAACACTTCTTTCTCGGTTGTGTGCTGTTGTCTTCAACAACATAGCACAGCACTTCATTTGCCGGCAATTGAAAAGATAACATAGATGTTGGATACCAGCAAAGTTTCATGAAATTATTGGTTTTCCCATAGGTTGTGCTGTATAAATCTCTCAATGGTGTAAAAATGCTTTTTACAATATCGAATTTAATATATGGTTGCAGAGCAGTTATATCATTCATGTTGTTTGTGAAAATTTTCAATGTGGTTGTACTAGTCGCAACAGTTTCGTTTTCGTAATTTAAGCATTTAAGAATTCTAGAGTAATCACTTTGATTACTCGATATCGACGAGCTATCCTCAGACTCATCTTTAGATGCGGCCATTTTTATTCCATTTCCCATTTTAGTTATCTGAAAAAAATTGAGGTTAGAAATTTTGTTGTATATAGAAATGTTTCAATTACGATCGCGTCTCTTGCATTCAACAGTGGAACATGTGCAATTGGATTTCAGTCTAGGATCAATCTGTGTTCCTGAATCTTTGGGATGTGCATTTGACCCCACGACAGAATTAGTTCCACTCATGCCGGAAGCCATAATTTCTTTCCTCAGCTCTTTAATACGATCGCATTGTGGATTGCAAGGCCCCACACACTTGCATTTGGAAGGTGGTGCTCCCTTGAGTATGCCTTTGAGTTCTTCATTCGTCAATAACTCGGGATTTGGTGGAATAACATTTGGTCTTTGACCGGGCACTTGTCCTGGAAGTGGTTGACCCATTGTTGATCCGACTTGAGGAGTAGGCACTGCTGAATATTGCATTTGCCCGCCGGCTACAATGGGTTGCTGGGCCATACCGGCAAGATATGGAGATTGTGGTGCTTGTTGTTGTTGATATGGTGATGGTTGTGCTTGCTGCTGGCCCATGAGAGCTCGTTTCTTCATTTCACAAGCAGACTTAACGCATTTAACCCCAGTGCATGTACAATACAAGTTAGGGTCAGGCATAGCGGACATTTGTTGCATTGGTTGCATTGGTGGCATTTGTTGCATTGGTGGCATTTGTTGCATCGGGTGCATTGGTGGCATTGGTTGCATTTGTTGCATTTGTTGCATTGGTGGCGTTTGTTGCATTGGGGGCATTTGTTGCATCGGTTGCATTGGTGGCGTTTGTTGCATTGGTTGCATCGGGGGCATTGGTTGCATTGGTGGCATTTGTTGTTGATACGATGGTTGCATAGACATTGCTTGTAAATTATACGATTGTTGTTGTACTTGCATTTGGCCCGGACTTTGTGGATAAGATTGTTGGGGTGGTACCATATTTTGTTGGGCTGAGGGTCGTAGCGCGTTACAAGATCTATTTGCCTCCTCAAGACACCCGCGTTTACCATAACTCATTGCATTCTGGGAAATTGGTGCACTTGGCACGTATGATTCGGTGGCGCACGTTTTTGTGGGATCAACAATACAACCAGCATTGCTACCACCGGGACCAACAGGTGATTCGTAATTGACTTTTCCCGAAGCATTCAGGCTAGCGCCCGCAGGTGAATATGATTCACATACACCTCCAGTGTTAACACACTGTGCTGGAATACTTTGTAAAGCTTGTCTTGAACCAATCATAGTTCCTGGCATAGTTCCCGGGACAGTGCCTGGCATGCTTCCAGGGGCTGTATTTGGCCTACTTCCGGGAACATTTTGTAAATTTGGATCTAGACAATCGGGTGGAGCGCAAACACAGTTGGGATCTGTAATTAAATTTGAGTATGTAAAAACGTGCCATTGCGTAACTGTGAGTTTATACTTTGCAAACTAGACATGGCTACTCCTTGTCCTTGCCCAGGTCCGGGAAATGGCTGTTGATACAAAGATCCTGGTGCAGTTCCTTGAGCAGTGTTATATTGAGATCCTGGCATGGATGCAAGTTTGCAATCGGTAGGTGGACAAATACAAGAGGTCCCCGTCACTGATTGTTGTGTAGGAGCCATTGAACCACCTGGCATTTGAGGGGGCATTTGCTGCATATACAGGGTATTATTCATCGGCGGTTGTTGAGCATTATACATTTGCTGTTGTTGATTGGGGTCACAGTATGCTCCAGCATTATCATCACAATTTTTTGGATCAATTGCTTGCAAGGTCGGGTCTTTGCATGCAGGATGACAAAACTTTGCTGGACAGTAACATGGATCTGGTACTCCTGCAATTGGCATTGGTTGACCAACTAACACTGATGGTTGTTGACTTGAACGTGGCTGACTACCAATGGCTGAAGGTTGTTGCTGACTTCCCATACCAGATTGCCGTTGTTGGCTTCCGACAGCTGAAGGTTGTTGTTGTTGTGGGCTTCCCATACTCGGTTGCTGTTGTTGGCTTCCTATGGTTGGAGGTAGTTGTTGACTTCCGACAGCTGAAGGTTGCTGCTGTTGTGGTTGGCTGCCTATACTTGGTTGTTGTTGTTGGCTTCCTACGGCTGATGGTTGTTTTTGACTTCCCATTGATCCTGGTTGCTGTTGGCTTGCAATAGCTGAAGGTTGTTGGCTGCCAACCCCCGGTTGTATTTGACTAGGATCTTGTTGAGTTTCCACCACCGGTGCACCTGCAACTTGTTGTGCATATTTCCTAGCAGCTTCTTTTCTTTCTTCACATTTCGGTTTGCACGTTGTAGTCGTCGGACATATACACGATGACGTAATCGCTTCTAAAACAATTTTTGTTTAATGCCTTTAATAAACAAAAGTATATTAATACCTTGTCCTGCTACACCTGCACCGGGTGCTCCCGATTGCATTGTGTGAGCACTTTGTGGTACAGTTCCTGGGGCTGTGCCAGGGGCAGTACCAGGCATAGATCCAGGTACAGTTCCGGGAGCAGTACCGGGGGCTGTGCCAGGCATAGATCCGGGTACGGTACCGGGTACGGTTCCGGGGCCTGATCCAGGTATAGTTCCTAGCACAGTTCCTTGTCCAGATCCTGGAACAGTTCCATAAGTTGATCCAGGAACTGTGCCGGGTGCACCTGAAGGAACACCTCCGGCACCCTTCCGCCTACAATCCGGAGCTGCACAACCACACGGATTTACTAATGCTGCATTATTTGGTGGCATTTGTTGACTTTGCGGACCCATTGAACCCCCCATGGAAGCTGGGTTTGTTGTTGGCCCTACAGAATATATTGCCGTACTTGGCTGGGCACTGTTCATTTGATTTAATCGCTGTTCTTGTAATTTACTGCAATTTTCATTGCATTGACCAGGTGGACAGTTGCATTGCGTGGGACTACCACCTCGCAGACCTTGAAATCTACCCGTGCTCGTAAAACAGTTGACCAACACAGCTTTCTTCTAAAGTTTGGATATAAACAATATATAGAAACAACATTCAATAAAGTATACTTACATTTGCACCAATGGTAGTCACCCATGAAAGATTAATAGCCTGGGAGCAATGATACTGCATTGGAGGTGATGTATCCAAATCTTGTGAGCGAGACACGGCCGACAATCGCGCATCTTTCTGCGTAGGTCGTGACTCTGTATTAGCAGATTGTGTTAAGTAATTAATAGTTGGCATAATCCTACATTTGTTAGTGTTGTATCCTGTGCTCGCCACTAAATCATCCTGAGTATCCGTCCCTGTGTTACCCTGGCTTTGTTTTCTAGTTTCAGTTGTTGAAGTTTCAGGCAATGAGGCTGTGGATCCTGGGATACAGAAAATGCCACCAGCAATCTGCTTACACAAACATAGTCGTGGTTGTTGTGTTGCAGGGATTGGCTCGGTCTTTGCCTGCATTTTGCTACTACTATTTTGTGCGCAGGCGCATTCAGGAAATACAAGAGATGGTACTTGTTGTTGTTGTTGTTGTACCTGCTGTGGTTGTGGTTGTGGTTGTGGTTGTTGTTGTTGTTGTTGTTGTTGTTGTGAACATTTGCAAGTTGGAAAATTGCTCTCACTGCCCAAATCTGGAGAAGAATATGATTCTGTTACAACACTAGGTTCCGGAACTTCTTCAATTATTTTATCCGGTGAAGTTTCCAAGTCTTGTTTTGATTTTCCTGTCGCTGCTGGAACCATCATCGGCCGATTAATGATTGGCAGTGAAGTGGTTGATATCAGTTCACAACTGCATGATATATGTTGTGGAGCTGCTGTTTGTTTAGTCTCCCGTCCACATTTGCACGGAGTTTTCATATTTGCAGTGGAATCATCAGTTTGTTGCTTGAAAGATTGTTTTTCTGCATCCGGACCACAACAGGTACAAGCTTCAACCATTTTTGGCGCAGACTTTTTTGCAGCTGTTGCGGCAACTTGTTGTTTCTGAGCAATCATTTGCGATGTTTTTTCATTATGGTCTGGTACACTTGGACCACATCTACATAAGTTACCAGTTCCTACATCACATTTGACTGTTTTGGTTGAAGGTTGCGCTGATGAAGAAGTTATCTTAGGTTTGACAAGTTGTAAACCAGCACACGCACAACATCCTTGTTCTGGTTGTTTATAATTCGTTGGTTGTTTCTGTGAGCAACCACAGGTGTTTGCCCCATTGTTATAGTTACTATCATTACCAAACTTTTGCGCATTCATCTTTGTTTCGTTGTCACTCAGCGGGCGTCCAACAGGACACTTACAGAATTTATCCACAGTTTGATTAACAACACTTGGCTTTAGAGATTGTTTCGGATTGTTTCCTGCCATATTGCTGGGACCTTTTGCAGCTTCGTTTAATGCCTGCTCCAAATTCAATTTTTCTAATATTTCTTGTGCAATTGTGCCAGTTTGTTCGTCGGTGGTCTTTACCGCGCACATTTTAATGGTTTTTGTTTTAAAGGATTAAAATTTTTACACGCACATACACTTAAAATTTATGATGTTCGACAGGAATGAAAAGGAAAATTGTGACAGTTTGGGTTTGGACACAAGTGATTTTCGTTTGTTTTTACAAACGGCTATATTGATTTGTATGATGTGGTGGTTTCACAGTCATGGCAATCAGACTTTGGTGATACAATCAATGCAGCAACATTGTGATGAGTGTTTGCTCCCGGTGGTTAGCGAAAGAGATATATTGGATTCCGGGTGGCACAGTTGATCTAATTTCTTATCATTAAGTGACATTTCTGAATAATGAGTACTTTTGTTCAATTTAATCATTTCGGCGTCATCGGGAAATGTTGTTTGATTATTCTTGTGATTTTGTTCATTATGTTCATATTGCACTTCAACCGGGACACTTTTTTCTACCGCTATTATACATTTATCAACTTTACCCAAACTAAGCATGTTTTGTTTTAATTTAAAAGATTCTATGTGTTTCTTAAATTCATATTCGATTATTTTGTTCAAAATATGATGCCACGAATCTTTGGTTTGAATTGATATATCTTTAAACCCTACAATATTTCGACTTACAAGTTTTAAAGCATGATTATTCTGATTCATTTCTAATAATTGAAATTTACCTCTCGAATCAATATTAAATAAACTCTTATGCTTACTGACAAAATATTCTTGATCCTCAGCAAATGTCTCCATCGTTAATTTTCGAGTTTTATTTAATGGTACATGTGACTTTATAAATTTATATTTTATAATAGTCTTGTTGTTGGACGTTTGTTGGTTGCACTTATTCATACTGAGAATTTTTGAAGAAAATTTCGAATCAAAAGCAAAAAATCTACAGAATTGTGTTTGATAGGTTATATTTTATTATTTAGAGTCATTTATGAATTTTACATGTTGATGCTGTCATCCTTTTTTGCTCCGGTAGATTGGTCCCAGATATGGTGCCATTTGATAAGCGACCTATTAACGCTTCCAGCTTGGAGTATTTATTGATGCACGCATTGGTAACGTGGAATTTATTACTAGTCACCTGAGTAGCAAACGACAGAGATGCGTGTTTCACTGAATCCAATAACTTTTCCGACATGTTGCCTTGATAAAACTTCTTCTTTTCATATGATTTTGATTTTAAATGTATCGCACTTTTCCTATCGTAAGGATCCATCCAGCATCTTTTATAACAATTTTATTCTATGAGCTGCAAATTTTGAATGATTTACAATCAATGTTGAAATGATAAGTGACAGGATTAAATTGTTTGACTGTTTATTTTATAAAATAAATGATTTGGCACACATCAAAGTTTTTTTGTGTTAAGTTGATTAGCATTTAGTGTAATATGCAAGCGATGACGGATACGCTCGACCTTTCGGTGCCATAGCGTAAATTTCAATTGCAATAGTACCAGAAAAATCCAAAGCATCCAAAATTGCATAGAGACGTTCCTTGTTTGTGATCCTGGCCTTCAGTTGTCCGTTTACATGTATATCATATCCGCAGATTCTGCAATCAATCGGTGGAGTCCATTTCACTAGTAAACTAGTAGCACCCACTCTCTTCACGCTGCATATTTTGAATCCCGCTAAATCTATACCGCAAACTGAACCTTTTTTCTTATGTGGATCCAGTGCACTGCTGATAAGAGCGCTATCAAAATCAGGGGCACCAGGGTTTTGTTCTCGTAGTCGACATATCAAGTTATTAAAAACTTTGCTCTTTGATCGTTCCAATATATCGCCGACCAATGCATCAATGTAGTGATCTTTTTGTCTACATTTCTGTAATAATGCACAAATAGCTTCTTGTTGATTATTAACATCCAGTGTGAATGCAGATGCTGCTTTTATGAACGGTGTTGTTACTAATTCGGCATCTTCACAAGATGTCTGAAGATGACACAACATGTCTTGCATACGGTCCATATAACTACTCTTGTTTTCGCCAATAGATTTGGAGCATTTGCATTGTCTACCACCATCATCATCATCATTTTGATATTTACGTGATGGTTCATTATTTCGAGCTAATGCCATGTTTTCTAAACATCTGCAAGCCCTTGATTCTTGTTGCTTGTCTTTCGCACATGTTTTTGAAACTTCTTCATTTTTGAACATGGAATAAATGTAGCTCTGTAATTGTAGACACTTTCCACATTCTTGCTGGATTTGATCACCGGAACATTTTTCAACAACATCTGCATCAATTTTGGATACTTCTCCTCGCGATTGCCGATTTTCGAATTCATTACTTGAGATTAACCCTTGTGGGGTTGATGTGCAAGCTGTAACTGCTCTACCATCCGCACTACTTCGACGCGTTTCTTCTTTTGGGACCAGTACTGTACCTTTCGGTGAGCTGCATTGAGGATTATTAATATTAATCGATATTGATGTACGTTTTGTTGATTCTGGTTCTATCGGTTTGGCTTCGGGAGAAGTTAGTGTGTTCGATTTGCTTGTATTACATGGAATACTGTTTTTGTTAGTTTTATCAGATTTAGGAAGTTCTCCAATGGCGGAATTGCAGGTAATGCTTAACTTTCTGGTTTCTTCACAGATACAATTATCACCGGCGGTATTTTTTGGTTGGGAATCTACAATTGGTTTTATTTCACAATTAGTCGCACTTTTTGACTTGCCTCTTGCGAGACAAACGCAGATTTTACTACTTTCTAAACCATTTTTGTTGTTTTCTGTCAATTCTGGTGACATTAATTGCCGTTCTTCTTCTTTCTTGGTCTTTTCTGCTTCACATTCAGGAGGACACGGGCTAGTGCAGTTGCATACTTCACAAGTCTTAGCTGGTTCACTTTCACTGTTTAATTGCTTATTACACTCTTCACATGCTCCATAGTCTGTCATGGCTTTGATTATTCGTAAAATTAACTCCGCACATTTTGACTGGCAACTTTCTAAACACTCGCAGATTTCCGCTATTAGTTCTTCAGGAATTTCTTTTTTTACTTCCATCTTAGTTGCTTGACATTCTTCATTGCACATATTTATGCAAACGCATGGATTACAGATTAATGCTTGAGAATCAGGTTTAGAATCTTGTTGTTTTTTAGCTGTAAAATTATCACATTCACATAGTGCGCAGACAACTTCTTGGTTTATTTTAGGTGGTTCTTCATTCGGAACAGTTTGAGTTTCTTTAATTTGATCATTTTCTGCTATGCACATTGTTTCGCAATGACAAGTAGTTGTTAAAACATCAGTTTGATTTTGTTTGGTCATTGCTGCTTTCTTTTCTGTGCACTCCTTTGAGCATATATCATGACATTTACATATATCACACACATTACTCATTTGCGCTTTTCTTATTTTATCTCGTTGGCATACTGGGTTACATTCTCCAGTGCAATTACATTTGAGACAAGTATCCATCTGTGATACCATCACATCTGATGCAGTAAGAACTTGTGTGGGGTCTTGTTTATGTAGAATGCATTCTATGCCGCATAAACCAGTGCATTGACAATCAGAGCAAACGTTAGAGGCTCCAGATTGAGGTTGTGTGTTTACTGCTGGAGTATCAGGTACTACAGGAACTGGTTCTAAATTAGCAACTGGTGATTCATCCACATCAGTTTGAATTTCTATATTACAAGCACTACGACATTGATTTTGAGCGGATTGAGTTGAACCATTCTGCGATGTATTCTTTTCGGGTTTCTTGCGGATAGCGGTTCTCATAGCCTCCATTGCTTCTTTCAATTTTCGCTCTTCACATTCACGCATGCATTTTCCCGTACATTTGCATGATGTGTTGGTGTCAACCACAAGAGATCCCAAACCTGGTAATGAATTACGTTTGATAGCAACTGGGATTCCACTGCTATTCGGACATCGCCAAGAATCTGATCTATGTTTTCCCATTTTTTGTTTTGTCATTTCACAGCGCGGAGGACAAAACCCCGGTGTGCATGTGCAAAATGAACATACGCTTGCAAGATCATCATCTGGCTCTAAGTCACATTGGACATCTGTAGCTTGTTTCGAGTCTTGAGCACCCTCGGCACCCATTGCATCACAAGTATCGTAGTTGCATTGAAAACCAGTAGTGGTCAATTCATTAGGCTTGTACTTTTTGCGAGGGACTGCATGTCGGCCACGAGGTTTTAGATTTTCATCCACGTCACTGTTGGATTCATTTTCTGACAATGCTTTGGAAGTGTTTTTGCAAACACAAGTACTACCAGAAGGCATTTTGTTTTGATTTTTAATAATGATTTTAGATGGTAATACTTTTTTATGCCATTATTTTACGAAGGATTTAATGATGTATGACGTTTAGAAATAGGATTTTATTTGACAGATTATAGCCATATTTAATTGTTTTTTATTTGTTGTTTCCTGCGTTATGCATTAAAGTGTCTTGAAGAGCCGTTTAAGTGGTATTTTTGCCTTGTTTTAAGCTGCAGTTGTTTAGATTTGTGGCAATTAAGTTTGCTTTTACAAACCTAATTTCAATTGTTGTATTGCAGAGTTTATTAGACTGTTGTTGGACTAATTTGTAAATAAGGATTTTCTACTCCTGGTATTGAACAAGTCTGGAGAAGAGTCATGTTTTCAACAACTTTTTGCTTTTGGACAATCTAATTCAAAATAATTAATATTATTGGGATCTCATGTTCATAATATACCAGTCTTTATGTCACTTTTTGTTGTTATCATTAATGAATGTAGGAAGGCGTCTTACAGAACACTTTTCGAAATTGTCAACTCTTAACAATTGTTGTAAACACCAAATTGCTTCAAAGTTTGACTTAGAAAGTTGGCTGCCATATTAATTTAACCTCTTGTTACAAAAAATCACAGATCATGACAGTTTATGGCTATCTCCAGGGCTATATTCATTTGCATAATGTTGTTGATATGTTATAAAGGTAAATTTGTATGATAAAATAATCTTCACTTTACACAAATAAATGATTGGCATATATCAATGGCATATATCAGTTGTGTGGAATTGATTAGTATTTAGCGTAATATGCAAGCAATGATGGGAACGCACGACCATTCGGTGTCATAGCATAAATTTCAATTGAAATGGTACCAGAAAAATCCAAAGCATCCAAAATC